CTGACTTTGTAAGTGCTTGAATACTTCATGTTGCATCTATCAAACTGACGTTTGTATTATTTAAACTCTCCAGCAGCCAACACATTGTCTGACTATGTCTTCGACATGTCAGTGTACCGTCTTCTTGAAACCGCATCGCTGCATTCTTTTGCATTTAGAGTAAAACTGAAACTGTCCAGAGGAGGAGGGAAAAAAAAGGTAATGATTTTAGTCATGTGTTATTCTTCATTTTATTAACACATTGTCACATCCTGTCAGGTCCCTCTTGGCCAGAACTCAGAGAAGGATTTCTGTGAGGAGGTTACCTGCAAGCTAATGAAGGACTTTTAAGCAGAACATTAAAAACAAGAGATTGGAAGTCTCATGCACTTCCACGGATAGTCTGTCCATTTGAATAACACATTGAATAAAGGTTTGACCTCCTTCCTGATTCAGACTACACAGACGGTTTGCTGATTAAGCATCTCTTTTTCACCCACAGGGCTGACGTCCTCATGAGGGAATCTTCAAGTCTAATAAATCTTTCAACCTTATGGTGATGACTTTCCCTTTTGCTCTTCCTATGATTACTGAAAGCTCATTTTAAACAGCCACTGAAGTTACCAATCTGAAGCTGTGCCACGCTGGTTGACTCAGGACAGTAAGGCAACTCTGAGGTTTTCACGGATTGACTTTTGTATTGTAGTGAAAAGAGCATAACAAAATAAAGCTCCAAGGAAGGTCAAACTTTAAAAAAAAGAAGAAAAAAAACTCTGGCAGCAGCAGTGTGGAAAAATTGTACTTTCCAACACTGGTATACGCTGCTAATGGATTATTTGTGTCCAGGTATCTGATATCAGATCATCTAAGTTCTTCAAAACACCTGTTATCTTCACACTACAGTAAGTTTAACACATTTATACCGCAGCAGATGGCATCTGACTGTGTTGGTGGAGCTGATTAGATGCTTTTTAGCTGCTCACTTCTAGTTTTAATTTTACATGTACTCATCTGAAGCAAAAGTCCAGTCGTACTCTTTCAGGTGTGTGCTTTCTTGTAAGGTTTCACTGTGAAGAAACATCATTAGTGGTGTTTTTATTGTTGAGATTATTCTATCCCCTGATACTGAGATTGTATAAAGGTTGTGTTGAAAACAGAGTGAGCAGAACAGCCATTATGACCTTCCATCAGCAAACTCCTCCTGCTTGTCTCCATTTGGTTATTAGCTCTTGGATGTTTTAGAACACGTACAAATGGAAGTGACCGGAGGGTGTTTCTACCTGGGGATCAATATCATGAAGGGCCTGCTGGATTTGTATTCATCCTGTTAGATGCTGAAGTTTTCTCTCAGTCAGTTACTGTAACGAGGGCCAGCAAGTCAGCATAAATACATCAGAGATGACATTACTAGCAATGGTACTTCACTGACATCCAAAGTCTTCATGCAACAGTCTCATTCACACTGAGCACATTGCCACTTTGGAGCTTTCAGACTTCTGTGCTAACAAGAAACTTGAATCCTCCAGCACCGACTATCCAGAGGAAATGACTAACAAGTTCTTCAGTGTGATCGCTGACACTTTCCAACTTTATCCCCAAATAATTTCTGCATTCCTCGTCTTTGAGAACATCGAGTCATCATCTGCTCAGACCTGCCAGTGCTTCACTGTTGAGTCAGTATTTCCATCCTTATCCTGGAAGACTTCTTCTTCAGCTTGACATTTTCCTTCACTACCAGTGAGTGAAGCTGTGGAAACACTGTACATCAAATTGGCAGGTTGTACTTGTAGCAGGTTGTTTGGGGGCAAAATGAGTGCAGAATGCACACATCCAAAAAAATCATTACAAGCCTGGATCAAAACATAAACCAGAAGCAGAAATCAGTCAAAACATCTGCACTCTGTACTGACAGCTCCTGGTCCCGTTCCGTTAGAACGAAGTTTCTTATTATTACTCTGCTACATACTCGGATCAGTGCAGTGCGCTGATGCCTGACAAGACATCAGCATTAATGTAGTTGTAAAAAACGCTTTCTAGGACTGTAGTGGTGGATTACTGGAGGCAGATCGATGTGTTGCACTTGAGCTCGACAAAAAACTGTTTGCATCAATCTTTTTGAGTCATGATAACTTCTAGTGAAATTATGTTCAACCAACTAACTACATTTATTTAGGGGACTGGACTTTTCTTCTGCAACCAAAGGTATTTTAATTACCGCTTAATGATTGGTAACATGAACACAAGTGTTTTAGTGGATTGCTTATAAAAATCAACTTGTTCCAGGTAGTGTTTTTATTATTTTAAAAATGACTTTTAAGTGTTACATATTTAATTACCAGATGTACTACAAGTTTTTAGGTTGGCAATTTCTTTTTAAAATGAAGCTGTTTTGGTGTATAGTAAGTAGGGGAGGGGACTTAAAATCCTGGCCTCAAGATGAAGAAAAGCTGAACTTGCAAAGCCAATTTCAGTAAGTTACCTCACCTTAAATTTAGTTTTAAACCAACTAATGCAGAAATTTGAATTGATATAGTCAACAACATCATTATGTCAACCCAACCCAATAAAGTAATTGACTTAAACTGCAACTCAAACGGACTATCTAAATCATTAAATTTTAATTTTTTATCTTACAGTCATGCATTGAACTAAGTGGTAGGAATAGGTACTTTGAAATACTTTTTAGAGCGCTGTTAATTTACTGGATTCACCAATTATCGGTTAATACCATATCAGGAAGTTCTAGGATGTAAAAACTGATCAGATTGATAAGTGCAGTTAAAGTCAGACAGAGGTTCTGGCGGAAAACGTACTCACGCAGTAAGAGAATAAATCATTTTAGTTTAATGTCCTTCACATACACACATAGTATGTGATGCATTGAGATAATGTTTAAATAAAACACAGTAGGTTCAGTTGCAAGTCTAAACTCTGACTATCCAACAAAGTGAGATTAACAATAACTCTCACCAGACCTTGCCTGCCTTGTCTTTTTGTACGATGAAGAATGTCACTGCTGTTGAACTCTGCGAACATTCGCTCATATTTAATTGCATCATTCATCTCCTCGTATGACATTCATTAATGTGCCATTAGCACTGATAGATTTCTTATTTCCATGGAACAAGCATAACAGAGTCGACGAAGGTCCTTCATTAAGCCATAAGCTTCATGCTTTATTCTACAATAACCGAAAAGGTGTTTGATGTTTTCGTCTCTCTGCTAATATATGCTCTGTTACGTTATGTGAGACAAAACACAGAAGAAATGAGTTTGCACCCCTTCTAGACACAATTGGGAATCAGACACACACACACACACGCACACACACAGACTATTGGCTATTTCCTCCAACCTCTGGATTTCTTTCCTTCGTGGTGGTTTATCTTAATAAAAGGACTGTTTGCTTGCCCTTTTGATCCCAAAAATGAAGCTGCAAGGCAAAATGAAGATTTTTAGGTGCTTCATCCCAGGTCAGTGACAGGACTTTGGAATATGGTCTGTTACGAGACTGATCTAATATCAAAACTGCAGACCTTATTTGAGCAAACAAAAATTTGATTCATTTGTTCTTGTATTGCGGTCTATGTGAGTTATATAGAGAAAGAGAGATTATCCAGAGCAGACATTTCTTTAGAGGTCAACAGACTTCCCTGTTGTCCACCAGTGTGAATAAACACTCGAAAGTTCGTTAAAGCTGAACTTGTGAAAGTATGATGATGGCTTCATCTACTGCTGCAATCTAAAGGTTTCCTTTTATGTGATACGACATAATGAGATACCCTGAAATATGAAAACAGACAAGGTGAACGAAATCCTCCGCGTCACGGTGTATTGTGCTTGTACTGTTCCATGGCCACTTACCATAGAAAACACAGGGAGACTAAATCAGCGAGACTTATATCAAAGTACTCACTCTGATCCAGTTTGCTTCATGGTAACAATTAACCAGTAATGCAGTGTGAAGGATAAGTATTACAGCTGCTTGCGGTTCAACACAGCTTACACAGTCATTTACAATAGTAGCCCGGTGAAAACTTGGAACTACTTTTGAAGCTGCTTAGTTTTATCTGACACATGTCATCTGGCCTACACAAGCAATGCTTTGGGCTGTTGTAGAAACAAAGAAAACATAGCTTTGAATGTGAGGAATTCAAAATATTAAATCAAAGTACGTGTCCTTCTGTGTTTTAGCCTATTGTAAACAGGAAGGGATCATTCCATCATCGAGTTTGTACCTGTAAAAAAACACTTTCCTTTATTTTATTGTAAAACATTTGTGTCATGCTGTGCTCTCCATGGCATTTTATCTTAGCTTAAACATCGTTATTTAAATAATCTTTTGTTGCATATGTGTTCATACGATATTTGGAGGATTTGCCAATCCCTGGGTGACGAATATGGTGTATAAATTATTTTAGTTTGACAAAAGAAATCACACCAAAAATAAAGCCAAATAAATCAAAGCAGACTGCAAATACCAACTGATTACAGACAAAACCTTATGAACTGCACCAGTAACTGGATTTTGTTATGAAACTGGTGCTGCATAAAAAAAGTCAGTCGTATCATAATAATACTGACTAAATGAGAGAATTATTAGGATCTGAAACTTTGATCATCTTACCCATTATAGTTCTGTGGGCAACAATTCTATTCAAGTTGGAGTTGTGTTATTTCCTCACCAAATACTCTGTCTTGGGTTTCCTGATGCATTTCCAAACTCTTCATATATTTACTGCAGTTTGTTTTAACATTATGCTTCGTTACAGCACCATTAAACGGTTGTCCTCTGGTTTTTATTTGGTTCTTTTCAAAGGAGCGGTGACATTTTTGAGGCACAACCTGCTTCTGATGCTCCTGTACTTGTTGTGTGCATGCATGCCCACGTGCTCATTAAAACATAACAATAGGATTGTGTATAGTAACAGGAGTGAAAATCTTAGCAGGATATCTTTAAAAGTAAGTTTTTCTTTTAAATAAAGCAACTCGGATACGGAGAAAAAAAAAATCATGCTTTGTTTCATAATACGTCAGTCAAATGTCTTTTATTTACATACTGGTCTGGATAAATCTGAATTTGGTGAATGCATCCATGCATACAGAAAACCTTTAAATTCCAGCCGATGCCCTTCATTATCACAGCATACAATATGCAATTATGTGCTTTGCAAGTAACAGACAGAGCATTATACCACATGAACACACACATATTTTTGCGCACTTTACACACAGCCTTGCACTGCGCAAGGTTTCCATCTGCGTACATGTTCTTTAAATGTTGAAATAACCAACCACTTGAAATCCAATTAATACTTGTGCATGAATTTACACGACATACAAACCACACAACAAATGGAATTGTACATCTTTAGAGTATGTACACACGACTACATTTACAATAATACAATTTGTGAAAGCCTAAAAAGTCGTCGGCATCATTGTCTTTATAACAAACTGCACTTAATATAACAAAGCACATACTGTATAATAGAAAGTAACTGTTGAGTTGCAAGTGTCAAAAAAATGATACACCGACTCTGTTTGACACGTTTCAAGTATCTGACGAGCGTGATCGCAGAGAGTTTAAATAAACTTTACGAGTCTTCGATAAAAGGTCAGGATAGAAAAGGTGCTAAATACTTAAACTCTCTTCTACCAAGCAGATCTTTGAAATACTGTGACAACAAAAGAAAAGCCGTGAAAAAACAACTTGCTATAAAAAAAACACCAAAAACTCAGATTTGACCAACAAAAGCAGGTTAAACTGAATGGCAAATTGGTTTAATACTATCGGTCTGTATCAGATTTGGAGTGAATTTTGACAAATACAATTTGTGGTTTGCATTATTTTTTCATCTCTAACCCTCAAGGAAATGTTCTGATATTTTGCTGAACAGTCACAAACTGCACCCGTGGCCACATATTTTACCATCAAGCAAATAAAAGAAATAAAAAATAAAAAAAGCAATGGCTCGTGGTGAAAGAGGATCAAAGCAAAGCAAAAGTGGACTCCATAATGAAGGAAGAGATCCTCTCCGGGAAGAAATGAAGTGAATGTGGGCCTCTCAGAGGTGTGGCTGGAGGGCTGCCAGGGCTGTGTTAGGTGGAGGACATTTCCATGGTAAGTAGGTGCATGCAGGTTTCAGAGTAACAAGGTGACGGAGTGAGAGAGAGAGAGTGAGAGAGAGAGAGAGAGCAAGAGAGAGGCCGAGGGGTGCGCTGCCAGGATCCGCCCATGAGATTAGCTTCAGTCCTTTTATATTCACAGACAGTCGAGAAAAAGAGGAAAAAAAAAACAATGTTCTGCAGACACACAATTTTTTGGGTACCGTTCACGTGATGGCTGGGAGGAGGGGGAGCAAGGAGGGAGGAAGGAGGGAGGGAGGGGATCAGTGAGCGCCAAGGCAGAGTGAGGGGGTGTCACAACAGAGTCTGTTCTCTTTGAGATGATTCTCCCTCATGTTTTCTGTCTGCCTTCCTCTGTTCTGTCAGTCAGAGTCTCCTCAGATTGTGCTCCTCTGTGCAGGCGCCTTTCCTCAAGGTGATGTCGTCCACAGCCATCTCCCCGCTCCTGCCTCGCCCACGCTCCCCCTTCAGGATCACCTGGAGAACGGCACATCACACACTGAGGTACTGCCACAGCAGAATCGCACGCCCCGTCATGATCAAAGAGGAGTTATTCAAAGTGGACGCCATTAAATTTTGCAGATCCCGCTCTTTCAAAATGCAAACTGCTCCTTAGATTTATTTTTTATAAACAAGAACACCGACATTTCTCTTCACTGAAAATCTGTAGAAATAATCATTTAAAATTCAAAAGATGCTGTACGAGTGAGCATTAAAAAAAAGTTTATGATATTATACTTACACTTTCCAGGCCCGTGCCCCATAGTGTGATCTGGGTGTGTCTCCAGCCATTTCCACCTGTTCGACCCCACACTGCCGGACTGTACTGCTTCCCCTTCTTCACAAACACTTGAAGCATTCCCACATGGTGACCTGCCAGCTTGTGCCGGAATGACAGGCACAGATTGCCGTCGTTCCAGGGAGGGGTGAGTGGGAGGACCAGCCGGGCGCCTCGGCCGGTCCTCTTGTTTCCTGCTTCGGGAATGGTGAGGTACCGCCCGCCTGTGGAGATTACAGTCCATTAATGGAAGAACACTAATAAAAATTTGCTGTCAAAATGGGAAACACCAAACTGTGTTGACAGGTAGCCCTCGACGGAAGTAAAAAAATATTCCACCCTGTGGTGAGAAGGCTGCACCTCTGTCGGTCCTTGAAAACCACTTATAGCAATTAAAGTATACTTTTTTAAGTAATTTTGCAAGTTTATCTAAATGTAGGTGTTTGAATTAGGGCGGCTGCGGCTCAGGTGGTAGAGCAGGTTGTCCTCTAATCGCAAGGTTGGTGGTTCAATCCCCCTCCCCTCCACAGTTGAAGTGTCCTTGGGCAAGACACTGAACCTGAAGTTGCTCCCAATGGCCGGCAGCCATTGTCATCATTGGTGTATAAATGTGTGTGTGAACGAGAAAACGCTGTAAAGTGCTTTGAGTACCACTAAAGTAGAAAAAAAGTGCTGTGTAAGTGCAGACTACTTACTATTTACCATTTAATATTCATCATATATAGTCTGTACACAGTGCGCATATGATAGAAATAGCTACTTAAATTGAACAAAACTATTTTTTCCTTTAACTTATCTGAAACAAAACTGAGTTAAAGTAGACCATCCAATTAAAAAAACTCCACACAAACAGATTGTTTTTTATTTACCCACTAGGACCAAGCGACACACAAAAACACTATTGTTATTTGCAAAGGTTTGGGGATATATGTGTTTTCTTGCTGCTACAAAAAGTGATACCCTGAGTCTCATTTGTGTGTGTGTGTGTGTGTGTGTGTGTGTGTGTGTGTGTGTGTGTGCAGCACTGAAACGTAACATCTGAAAAATTTAACAGCAGCCTGGTTTTCCAGTTTTCCAGACACAGTGTTCTGGTTTACCCAGGATAATTCACACACCTCACTATTAACAGTTTTTCATTGGAACGAATTTCCACATCAGAAGCTGTTTGCATGCAAACTGCTGACAGGGTCTGTGGACTGTCCCAAGTGGAGCCCTGTTCCTGGGAAGCCAAATTGTAGCTGAGTTTTACTGAGGTGCTGAATGCTTGGAGCAGCACAGTATTCCATTTACTTCACTGGAAAGAAAAAAAACACTATTACTAACACAGGTAAGTAAGAAAATGTGTGTTTTTTTAGGGTGCTTGTTTTTTACTATTTGGGTGACCTGATCTTTAAAATGTAGACAGAAAATAATGAGACAATTGATAAACATTTGACCCACTTATGTGCCTTTGCCTCATAATACAGTCGGTTGCCAGTGGCAAATAGATTTTTTTTGGTTAATTCATGCATTAGATAGCAGAGCTATATTTTTTAAAAATTTAAAGGTGAAAGAGCTTCTGGGTTTTGGCTGATTAATGCTGATGTATTTTGCTTATCCAGCAGATCCATGTATGGCTGCTGCTAACCACGGGGGCTGCAATAAGTATCTCTGGACCACAGAGGCTTTCTGCATAAGCTATGAGCTCCCTTCCAAATCTGTGCCATTCCTCCAACAGGCACGAGTGTTTGCCCTTGGCTGTTTATCAAAGAACTTAAAGTGATGAACAGCAAACAGTAACGTGCCTCATAAGACGCTCAAGATGTAGGAAAAACATGTAGGTGGACAGCCTTGTATCTATAACGAAGACATCGTTCAAATGTTGAATAATAAACAGGTTGCTGCGAATCAGCGACTGGAATAGCGCTTAGCACATGATTTATTGTAAATAACTGGCCGGGCAACTTAAATGTCTGGATAAACATGTTTATTTGCGCTGATGAGGGACTGAATGAGTGGAAACACACTGTTGGCAGTTGGCAGCAGAAGCCAGATGTAGCTATTGTTACTTAAACAGTAGCAGTACGCCGCACTGTTTAGACATCACACGGTCTCCGCTGAGTCCTCTCAACATAATTCACCATGTCTTTGCCTCATCTGAACTAAAGAAACACAGTGTTGTGTTCGTGTTTAACGCGAGCCACTGGTATCACTGATGGGTCGCGTAATCCACTTCTCATTTGCATCGCTTTGTAGAGCAAAGCACTAATCTGCAGACAAGACAAACTACTTCCCTCAAGTAATTTTCATCTTGACCTGTAATTGAGTCGAACAAAACGGAGCTGCTTCGACCGTGTGTGTGTGTGTGTGTGTGTGTGCGCGCGTGTGTGTAGGAGCCATTTCCATTTATATAAAGCAAACCATAGAACAAATGGTATTCTTTAATAAAGGTGTGTGAGTGAGAAGAATTGACCCGTGTTCCTCAGTTACCTGACGGATCAGGCGTCGTCTCCCAGTGAAGGTCTCCGTCTTTGTCCCTGATCCAACCACAAAGACCGTCATCAAAGGAGCAGCTCAGATACCCCGACGCTGAACAGAACAAAACCCACATTTCAGAGAAGCGGAGGGCGAACACACATGCATGGGGCTCCAGTCTGCTCTCTGTAGCCTTGCTGTGAGCCTCTAACTACACTGGGAGCAAGACGACTGCTCAAGCTGCTCCTGATAAGCAGGCTGATACCAAGAAGGTGCAAACATTTGTTCTAATGTTGTAATCTCAGAAAAGAAGAAAAATGAGGTAGAAAGAGTAGAAAGGAATTAATGTGAATGTGAAAGATTTGCTGGTTTTGCAACTCAGTGAGTGTGCGTCTATGCATATATATGCCATACAGCAGAATAACAAACATTATGTTTACAACAGAGTCATAATATTCAATGACTGATCATTTCTTTCCAAGCGATGATGCCTAGACAATAACATTAAAGCAATGCAGGCAAAAGTTACCGTATTATCCAGGGATTGCTGTACAAATTGGTTCAAAGATAGGAATAATATCCATCATTTTGTCCCTGAAACAGGGTTTTTGAAAAAACACTTTCTAGTTCATTTTCTGAGCCAATGAAAATGCCTTCTCAGTATATCAAATGGTGCACTGTGAACCAAAATAAACACGTAACTAAATCATTAGGCAATTTAATCTTCATCCTCTCGAGATCAATAAATCACATTGAGCAGGCATGACAGAAAGTGCTGTCTCTTCACAAAAGCTTATTGTCGTCGTAGGAACTCTACATTAAATACTATGGAGGTTTTGAGGAGAGCGCTGATGTGCTTCCAAATGATCAATTAATCATTCAAGCAGTCAAGCAATCAAGCAGGCATAATGTGAAAAGTGGAAAAGTCTGGCAGTGCATTCTGGGCTGTGAGCCATTATTTAAACGGATACGGCCAGATGTCATGCGTCACCCCCTGGTGAAAGCCCTATCAAAACACATCTGGTCACTCTAATACCTCCACCGCTGCAGGAGTTGCTTGTCAGTTTCATTTTGCATATAGCAAATGTGACTCGTCCGTCATCATTTGGGCCCTATTTGCAGGGCTGCTGCTGATTGTCTCATCAAATGTGTTTACCTGGGTCATCCTTGGCTTCATCCGCAGTGTTGCCGAGCTCAATGTCAAAGTCAATGTCGAGGACAGTGTTGTGGCCGGGGTTCCGAGGAACTGAAAAGAGAGAAAGAAAAGGAGGGAGGGAGAGGCGAGTTTAGATAACGGATTAACTAAGGTATTATATTTGTTCACTGGCATTTGCTTGTGGCTATTGTATAGCTTTGTTTCATTACTCAACAAGGACTTTACAAGGATGAATCAATGTCACGGTTTAGCGACTGTGCAGCCGGGGCTAAGCGCATTCAATAACAGCGCACGGACGCCCACAGAGACCAGAATACCTGAGAAAACCCATAGCAACACCAGAAGTCAAATGTGAAACATAACGAGGAAAAGGGCGATGGTTCATCTGATGCAACGTCTGGGCAAATGTTGCTGCTACACAACCGGGGAGCTTCAGTACATGACAGTACACAACCAGTCCTGAAATAGCCTCTATCCCTCTCCAATGGGGTCACACTGCCCAAAATACTGTACTGTAGGCCAAGCTGTGTTTTTAAAGGTCAACTGTGTGCAGCATAAAACTGTCTATTTTTCATGACAAATCTTTTGGAACATGAAACGCTTCGACCCTTTTAATCCATTAGTATAACAGGATTTAAAAATGCCTTCATGGCGAAAAAGCATCCAAAAATGTAAAATACACATAAATATCTTAATTTTACTATGTGTTGCATTTACATATGTGGCATGTTAATGGGATTTAATGAGACAAACTATCAATAAGACACTTCTCAGCATCCCACGCGGATGCTTGTGCTTATGCTGTGAATGAACTGTAACCTGCACTTGAACTGACAACCCTCCAGAGTCCCTGTAACACGCGGCCCCCCTGCAGACAGCCCGGGTACCGACAGGGCCCGTCCCCCCTCCGCGTCGGGTCACCACCACCTGGCAGACAGCGATGTAGCCTGTCGGTCGAAGGAATCCGAGAGCAGGGAGGTCATGCTCACGCCAGGCTCTCCAGCAATCCCAGGCATGCGCATCTCTCTGTGGGAGTCTGTGTTTGTGTGTCTGTGCTTTTAAGGAACTAGGCCTCCCTTGAAATTTGCGCATCCAGTCATAGGGTGGATATATAAAGAGCAAATCCAATGATATGCTGATTACGGCTGCAGTAATTTGACACTGTGACGATGAAAATATAGCCGTGTTTGGGTGTCCTATTTTAACAGCACGGGAACATCATGTAATTACACAAATTCAGACAATGAAACAGTGTTGAAGGAAACATTTGCTTTTCCTGCTGACGGTTTGTAAGTTAAAACATCAAAACAAACCCCAAAAAATAAAGTAAATTATTAATAAGAGTTGGATTTTTAACTTTTTATGTCACAGACAGAATACACAGAGTTGTAAAGATGTACCTGTCTTTGCAAAATTTATACCCTGATCCCAAATGCAATCAAGTTCAATTAATTGATATTTTTGCTGCCCGAAACATTAAAAATGTACATTTAAGAACTCGGTAGTCGTGCATCATTTTAAAAACAAAGCCCTGGTTACACTGCATTATCTATAGATCTTACTGTCAACAGTTTTAATATGACTTCTTCTTTTGCAGAAAGTAGCTCAGATGAAAACTTCTCATAGCAAGGTCAGCGGATGATCCAGAGTAACTGGGACACTGTTTCTGGTTTGAGCCCTACAAACAAAATCCCAATTTCCTCCCCTGTGTTGAGATGCTGACAGAAATCTCGGATAGCTCAAAACTTCAATATATGAATCATAAACTATCTGCACGCCCAGATATGATGAAATGCTTCATAAGAAATAATATTCAAACATTGCACCTCTTGACCTTATGTGCTTTATTCCGTCCAAATATTTGGGAGGTCGATAAAAGCTGCTGGAAGAGATCTGCTATGTTCTGTCGAAATGTTGAGTAAACAAATTAAAAACCAATCAGCAACTTAAATCAACACTCTTTTCCCTGAGATTCTAAGGTTTGGAGACAAATACAGCACATTTCATCATTTTTAGTTTTTTCCTTTTTCAGATGCGGCGTTGCTACCTTTCTCTTTGTTGACACGATGTTACACCATCACACTTGTATCCTTGTCACCGGGTGAAAGCCTTGCATCTCCAAAATGCAAGCTTTTATGCAGCTTAGAAAAAACAGCCTTGCTTTTTTTTTTAAAAAGGTGCACAGAAATGCATTTTTGGCACAATCCAGAGAGTGTTTAAGGAGATCTCTATTTATATTTTGGAAAATGTGTTTATTTGCTTTCATACTGACTTAGATGATTAATTCTGCTCTCATGTCTATGCATTGATCAAGACCTGAGGCGATAAACTTACCATAAAGACTGGAAACCGAGAGAAACATCTAACCTGCATCACAAAAACGCACTATTTGGCACCATGTCTTTAATCCTTAGACACACAGGGACACAAATTTGTAGTTTTGTAGGCATTTATGTACCGTATCACATGGCTGGAGCAAATTTCCTAGAAATAATTACAGCAATTAATGAATGTCATTTGTATCTTTTCAATCTCTAGAACAGACTGGTTAAGCAAGACACAAAGATGCAAGTGTATTTTTAAAGTTTGGAGAAAGCCAGGCTATTCATCGCCCTCTTCTCCTATTCTTTATCCTAAGATGACCCACTTCCTGCTCCACATTTATACATGCAGACATGAGCGTCACATTGATCCTCAAAAAAAAAAAAAAATGTTGAGCTTTTCTTTAAACCCATCTGAAAACAAGAAAAACGTCCAACAGGTTCAAGACGAAAGGAAACTACAAAGCTCTAAATTAGCTCTGACTACAGTAAGCATCTGCACTTGAGGCACAGCTTCTCATTTTTACTCCTATTTCCATCTAATTATTTGAATAATCACTCAGTGATGTCTCTCTCTCTTCCCTCCTTCTCTCACCTTATTCAAGCCATCTTCAGGATGCTCTCATACAACTGGTTCGCTGTGGTGCAAACTATTAGATTGATGTCTCCCTCTAGCAGTGCAGACAGGTGTTTAGGCAATCTTCTCTCCTCTTTCCTTTCTCTAATTATGTGATGCCATCTGGCAAGGTGAGTAGGCACCACAGTATCTCACCTCCTATTCTGCGTGTGGCTGTTGCATCTCACCAGACATTTCAGACACGCGAAAGCAGCTCGGCGTTCTGTGTTTGCTGTGCCTACGAGCCTGATACCAATAATGAGCAGAGAGAAACTTCAATCTCTGTTCCATTACAACTTTTACAGCTATTTATACTGTCGGTGCTGGCACTCCCTCTCGGCTGCTTTTTCATAATGTGCAAAGCAACATATGTTTTAGTAGTTTGGTTTGTTGATATTCTTGTTGCGTGCCGGAGGATTTTGGGGGCTACAAAACTCCCCTCTAATGTAAAGGATTAAGGGTTTTAATTTTTTTATTTTATTTTATTTTTTTTAATTGCCTTGCAACCTAAAAAAGGAGAAAGAAAAACAATACAGCATTATTCTACCTCTAAATATGTTCCTACTCCTCTATCTTCCTTCTGTGAATCCTTAAGGCTAAATAACTTCCCAAGAAAGCTGGACACTATAGATTTCAGCAAACTTTACTCAAAATTATAAAGTGAACTTTTTGGGAGCTGTTGCAAGTGGCTTGTGAGGATTTACAGCACCAGAATGTTGAGTATAAACAATAGTCCTCATTTACATTTTCTTTTTTTTTTTTTTTTTTACATTAAAAGTATCAGTCCAACCGGGCCAGAAATAACTTGTGTTATCATTCAACCCTCGTGTTTTCTAGCCAACAGATTGCTGAGGTTTTATGTGTCCAAGTTTTGAAATATTCCACTCTGTTTCCACCACAAACAGTGGAGGTGAATGACATTTTACTGTCACTCAGTGCAACTGTGTGGCTCGCTGATGTGTTTACTAATCGTTTTTGGACAATAATAGAGCTTTATGGCACGTCCGGCTATTGACACACAGGTAACAGCTGTTAGCGGCGTCATTTTGTTGCTGCTTTTTGTGTTTTTATTGGATTTGCTGGTCACAAAATATTAAATGCCACCAGCTTTATCCTGCAAATGCTGAAGTACAAAGTGTTTACCAGGAAACAAATCCGTGTCATCACGTAAAAAAGCAGACAGCGACTTTCACCTTGAACCAAACGTTTGTGACATTAACAAGTCACACTTCACCGGGGTTATCTCATTAGGAAACAATTCAGTGTTTTGAAAAGGTGCGTGCACTTCTCATTGGGAGAAGAAAGCAGCGCATGATTGGCCTGATTGCCCTCTTTGTTGAAGAAAAAAAGAAACAAACGGCGCCACCTCTCATTATTTTCAAGTCAATCCCGTTATGTGGTTTTGATTGAGAACGTCAAACTAAAACAAGCACTGATGATGCATTTTGAATGTAATTGGTGTCAAAGATTCATGCTTGGCAGAGAACACAGCGTGACATCTGGATAAACAACAGTCTGGCTGAGCACCAGTTTGTGTTTGTTTGCTGAAGCCAAAAAGATAATTGCCTTAAGAAGAAAATATTCTTACTTTTAATACTGCAATTAGTGGGACTAATTTGTTGTGTTTTATAAATGGGTATTATTTTTTTCACGATATCTGTATCACAGTGGAATCTCAGGGTGGGTACTGATGGATTTAAATATCTATCAGCTTGAATTCTTACATATGAGAGGCTTAAATATTACAGTCAGTAACAATGACGCCCTGCCAAGTGTGCTTGCTAAAACTACTTGCACAGTGTTCCCATCCAATCCAATACTAATTCTGACTTTTGATTTCAAGCGTCCTCACCTGTCTGCATCGCAAACTGTTTGCAAACTTCCTGCCAAGTGTTTGCCATTAAAACCGTCATGTTTCTGGCAGGGAAACTTTGCACACATTATGAACTGACATCCACGTATCAATGTGTAAATAAATTCTAATAATTTATATCATCTGTCAGGTAAACGTAACTCCTCATTCCCTAGAATGTTTCAAAATAAACATAGTCTTTCAGGATTTGGATGCAGAAATATGCAAATGTGCTCCAATTTGGTTTGCAGAGAGCTTTCTCAGAGCTGATGAAGATGAATGGTGTGACATATTAGGTTGACCCGACCATCAGACATGAAAAAAAATACAGATATTTGAACCTATCAGTGCAACAAGTTCTTGTTCCATAAGTCCTCTGAGCTGTTAAACCAACTCTAATAAATGTATTTATATAAGCAATGTGTTTTTCTATAGGTGTCATCTGAAAGGTGCTGGGCGTAGTGATGGAGCCGCAGAGAATCATCACTCGACTCTGGAGTGTCCCTCAGTTTTATGGAGTCTTTTAGCTCAATCCTTTTGTTCTACAGCCTGCAGTTTTACTGTTCTGGTTCAGTCTCACTGCTCTAATCAGTGCTGTTTCCAGACACAGCAGCTGTTTTCAGGGAAAAAGGCTGTAAACACTCACTGTGCACTACCTGCCCTGCACCGCACATCAATCGCTCAAAGACAGCAGCTAGATGGCGAACACAGAGGAGCATTTACCAGCTTAACAGCCTGATATTTTTCTTTTGTGGTCATCAAAACAGTCGAGTGAACAGTGAACCTATTTGCCCCATCACAAGAAAAATTACTGAAAATGAATGCTGATGTTGGATAACAACTTTATGAGGTGAAAAGGTTCGTTTTCAGCTCACAGCCTGTTGTTGCTGCCTCCAAATGTTTACTGCTATTATTATTATGTGTAATTTAGTCAGATAAGAAAAGCTAAATCTGCATCTGTAGCTCAAACCTTCAATCATGTTTGTGAACATGTGACAAATATCATGACAATGTTTGTGTATTTAAAATGCTATGAAGTGATTTTTTTGTTTGCTTTCGTCGAAAAACTTGCAATAGTGGTTTCAAGTCAGAAGTCTAAAAAATTAATGAATAAAACAGAACAGAATAGATTGGATTAGAGAGACTGTTCTTACTGTGGACATCCCCTCTCTGTTTGGTGACCTCCTTCTGGATGCTGTTGTCTACAGGTGTGACCGGTGGCTGAGGCAAGGGAGGTCTGGTGGGAGCTACTGGCCTCGGTGGGATGTACGGTCTGCGTGTGGGCATTGACGGCTTCCTCGTGGGAACAAAGGGCTTTCTGGTGGGAACCGCCGGCTTGCGTGGAGGTGGGGTGACCCTCTTTGGAGGCAGAGGTGGTTTGGTAGTGGTGGTGGTTCTCGTAGTGGTGGTGGTGGTGGTGGTGGTTGGCGATTTGGGAATAACGGGGAAGATCCTCCTTTGAGTCACCGGCGGGCGGACGGTGGTGGTCCTCTTGTGATCCAAGTCTGGGATGTAGTTGTGATGATTTGGAGGCAGTTTGCCTGGTCTCGGAGGGTCAATATTCACCTTAGGAATGGCTGAAATGATAAGAGAATGCAGATGGAGCACAGAAATATGAGCACTTAAGAGCTAATGAGGCACAGAATTGCAGACTAGCTGCGATGATTAGTCTTACTTTTGCAGAGGAGGGCTTTATTTCATCTGTTGAGACTACTCATGTTAACTATTAACTAAATGTTAACATCCTAAAACAAATTGGGTGTCTCAAATCTCACAATTGCACTAGAATCCCACAAGAACCCTTTCACACAGTGGGACTGTTTATGGAAAGAATGAGCGATACCTTCATGGGTTCAACACTTACACATACTGAGTTCAGAGGATTTCTACTGTTGTGAAATCGATATTGCTTTCTAATAGCATCTGTTTATCCATTCATGTGGTCATCCTGATTACAAATTCTTTGTGTACTCATAGCCAGAGGCCTTGCGGCATCAAGCTAAAGCCTCTCTGTGTGTGTGTGGAATGATTTCTGCGCTCAAACAGGCTGCCGTGCCCCTGAGATCACCCTTGCTGATGTCATCAAAGCTGCACCTCCTTGTCTTTTGTTTCTCCACACATTGTTCCACATCAGAAGCAGAGGCATAAACTGGGGGTTTTCGCGTGATGCGGCGGCTTCGCAAGAGTTTTCAGAGTGAGGAATGAGAGTGGACAAAGGTAAGTGGTTTGAACTCAGTTATTGCCTCCTCAGGTTGCAGGCGACTTTGATACGCGATACACAAATAGGATATTGCAACTCGACCCCCAGAGAACTCGCAGCCTTTGGGCAAGCGACAGGGTGAAGTACTTTCATGAGGCCTCCTCTTTTGCTCCGTGGAGTGTTACATTGTGTGTCAGATGATTAAATAACTGTGGAGAATAGATGACTTCTTATCCACTGAGCTGCCGTAAAAAGTGCAGACGCACGGACTAATGAGCTGTGTGTCAGCAAGCAGAATGAGACAAACTACCAGGACAAGAAATATTTCACATTTGAAGATGACTCCTATTTTTGGCCGATTAAAATGGCCAGACGTCAAAAATGGAGTCACTCTGGGAGCATGCGATAAGAGAGCAGGGTGATTTAAGTAATGACTGACAGCCTTTACAAAGACGGGAATTTCAGTCCCCGCTCTTTGCTTGCAAGGCTATTCCTCCCTCTTTCTTGCTTTCCTACCTTCTTAAAAAACACGGGCAAAGAAAACAAAAAATGTGAGGCCCCGTTCCTCTTTGCGAAAGTGAACATCGGGGGCCGGGTTTTTTTTTTTTTTGTTCTCGGTTCTTACGTTTACAGTCGTGGCCCATCCCCCTGTAGCCATCTTTGCATTTGCACTTGTATGAGCCTGGTGTATTGTAGCAGGTGGCGAAGCTGCTGCAGTGGCTCTGACCTAAAGAGCACTCATCCACATCTGAAAGATAATGGAAACAGAACAACATTCAGCTACCGGGTGCAAGTGTAAAAAGCTTCAGACATAACAGTAGAATATCAAAGGCTAATTGCTTCACATCCACTTGAAGGAAAGCTCGAAGTTCATGTCTGGCTGTTAGTGAAAGCATTTAGGTGAATAATAGCCATCTTTCCATGAATGCCGACACAAAATCACTATCAAGGTTGCTCTGCAGAAATTCTGTCTGTGATGGAGAGCTGCACGGTCCTTCAAGCCTTTTAGGGGAAACTGCTACCAAATTCAAAGTCAAAGTTACAACTGTTCAACCTGTTTAAAGGTTTGCGTAAAACTAGATAAATGAATGTGTCTGTGACGTATACTTTGATTTAAGATAATGTAGATTTGTATAGACAACTAATTCAAGTATAAGATTAGATTACATTTTTGGGGTCGTGGTGACTCAGTGGTTAAGGCTTTCGGCTACTGATCATTGGGGGTTCTGACCCCAGCTTCACAACAAGTCGAGATATGAGAAAAGAGAGTTTCCACTTGCATGATCAATAACGCATACAGAATAGAAATAAAAAAAATAAAAAAATAAATATAGTGTATATCACTAAAGTGAATTGTTGAGGCAAAGTTGAATAAGAGGAAATTAAACAACCAACTTAAATTTGTTTTGCAGCAGTTTGGTGCCAGTTCACTAAACCTGACATATCTTCAAGTGTTTTTAGTGTCTGCTTCATTTTCTTAGTTTGTTACAGTTTTAAATTTGATTATATTTGCGATCCAATTAATTAGATTTTGTTTCTTAGCATTTATTGACATGTTGTGATTGACCAAACCCTCTCATAGAGTATTGATTTAACTCTAGTACAGTGATGCTGATTTATGAGCCTCAAACAACTTTGTTTTTTGACTATTTTGATATATTTCTGGTACATGACCTCCCCTGTTGCATTTTTAAATACATTATTTTACTATTTCACTTTGCTTTTGTGGCTATCAGCAGTGGCTGATACATTGAGAGTAGGATCCACTTGTTAGGGGGTGGCTGGCACCAGTGAGATCTTTTACCAAAGTAAAAGTAGCAATATCTATAAATAGGTTAACTACTCTAATAAAAATAGCAGTAGTACAGCATTAAAATTATGCACTATCATAAAAATGTACTTAAAGTATTAAAAGTCCTGCAGAATAGCACCTTTCAGAGTATCATATCATTACCTAAATGATTTTATTGGAGAGGAGTTTGAATTTCACTTATTACATGCATCGTGTATTGTAAGTTAGTCAAATGCTTTGTGTGTAAACTCTTTATCTGCAAAATGACAAATAAAAAAGCTGCCAAATGAATGCTATAAAATGGAATGTTTGTCTCTAAAATGCAGTGGTTTGGAACTACAGAGGAGCATTATGGGAAAATACTCAAGTAAAGTAACTTAATATAACTTAAGTACAGTACTTAATGTACTGTAATGTATGAATGATTAAATGTACTTAGTTGCTTCCAGAACTAGTTGACATTCCTTTTTTAAGGATGGTGTCGCTGAGATTCTGCTCATGTGACATAACTTTTAGAAATTACATTTCCAAAGGGATTGCTGCAACTGTTCATGTAAATTTCTGTCATTTATGCATGTTCGTTTTCTTATCACCTTGCTTCTTCACCCCCGCCCACAGCGCTAAAAATAACTTGGCTAAAAGTCAGAACATTTCGGCACATCTTTGACCTTTGTAAGTTTTATCTGACTCACTGCAGAGACACTGTGTCACTACCTATGCACTGGTATTTCCCGTTGATGTATTGCAGGTCGAACCCTTCGTGGCACTTGCAGATGTAGCTCCCAAAGGTGTTGATGCATTTCCTGAACCTGGGACACACCGCTATCCCTGCTGCACACTCATCCACATCTGCAAGAGAGAAAAAAAAGATACAGATTGTCACAAAAAAAGACAAGATTCAAATTAATTAAAGTGATGCATTCACCAGTCTTTCACAGAAAGAAGCCGCCTATTAGCATTGTTTGCATGCAGTATACAATGCATTCAAAACAAAACAATGCCTTAAAAAAAGACAGAATAAAAAGGCCAACTTAATCCACAACTAAACACACATTGCTATTCATACCGGAAGACTTCTTCACCTTCCCTGGTTAGTATTCATTTATGAACAAAGCATATTATGTATTCTGTTCGGTGAGCACAATACAATGCACACTACCTTGTTTCATTATTTAAAGCCTATTCTAAGTGTCTCTGTTGATCACCTTTGCAGGCATGTGGGCATTAATATTTAGACACCGAGCGACTCAAAGCATTTGCCTTAAATCATTAATTTATTTGTGGCATAATGCAGCTGAGGCGCTGTGGTGCTGCAGGGACTGCTGTTTAAAAGGACCTTAAAAATAGTGAGACACCTGCACCAGCTGGGAAAACAAGGGAGTGAAGTCGGTGGGCAGAGCTCCCTCATCCCCTCAACAACTACTGCTGAGGTTCTCATCAGCAAAGGGCCTTAATCCCAAACTGCTTCAGTGGAGCTCCTTAATGGCCAGTAGTTGGAGGCTGTGGCTGCATTACGCTGCTACAGTCAGGACAGCAGCGGATTATTATGGTTCAAATAACATACACATGCATAAATACAGCCACTGTGTCTTTACACCAACTCTAACATTGCTTTAGAAGGGTTTGCCTTTATCAGTACATCTGGATTTGATGCCAGCTCAGAGTTTTTCTTCCAAAGTGGCGAATTGTCAGACATCAGCTTTAACCCCATATTCACAGTTACATAAAACATCTGAAACTGTGCCGTACAGTACTTGACAACTTGTCTGATGCATTAAGCAATTTCAGTGAGAGCCAGCAAATTATGAAGCTGTCTAATCCCGAGCTTTTCCAGCACAGAAACACCAGTGCACTTTGGCTTTAATCAGAGGGTTTTGTTGCAGTTCTGTCACACAGCAAAAACAAGTCAATACCTCCTTTCGAACGGATCACAAGACATCCCTGTTAAGGGATTCCTGGCCTAATCCACTTTTAGTAAACAAATAACGTAGCACGTGCAGGGTTTCTTTAAATAGCTATTATTTAAAAAAAGACTGAAACTTGGGAAAACGTCAGTGAACTGCTCACAGCTCACAACTTTGGACTGAAAAGCAACAATTTTTCACTTTTACTTCAATTTTAAACTGACGAATAAAAAGTAATTATCAGATTTCTAAACAAAAACAAAAAAAGTGAGGTGAGGACACATCATCAACAACAAGCAACAAGTCTAGGGGTGAAAATTATAAAAAAAAATATTGCAGATGACAAATACAGACAAATGCTGATACTGACTTACTGAAAACTCTTTTAACACCACCACTGTCTGGGGCCACCTTACTGTATTATTTTCTAATATACCTCTTCAAGCAACAGCAGAATATCCTTCAAGTTTATGTTATTTAATTTCTATTAATTTATTGTTTGCTTAAACTGTGTATTATGAAAGTATTTATTAATTATTGTTTTACATGTTCAATAACACTGGAGCTAATATATTTACATTTATACAGCAAATCACCTAATTAATATTACACAATGCTATTTTTTTAAAAGAGCATTTAACTTTGGGGAAAAATGTGGGTTAATCCTTGTTCTTCATTGACTGTCCCTCTTCTGAGCACACATGATTAAACATATTATCACTTAATAGCAGCTCATAACGCTTAATTATTAAGATATGGTCACAATACGTTTTGTTCAACTGAATCCTTCTTTACACTCAGGCATAAAAAATATGTGACGTCAGCTCTCTAAAGTGGATTTCACGTAAATATTGATCACAGCTTTTACACTCTGTAAACAGTGCATGAGCGCAAACTTATAGTTTGTATTGGCAGTGTGTTAATGTACTAAACAGAGTGATAAAACAGCCAGTCTGTATTTTTATTGGCAGACTGAGGACATCCTCCAAGTCAGAGTTGAACAAAGAGAAACTCTGACCTGTGAGTCCATCGGAGCAAAACAGTTTTAAATTTATTCACCCTGTGGGGTTCAGTAGAAGTGAAAGGGGGATGGAACAAACATTTGCTGGCTGGAAATACGATCTGACTATATATTCACATTTCAAAAACAGCTTTAAACACTTCAAATGTCTTATTCTTTACATTTAGCAAAAGATATTTACTGTCAAGTTGGAAAATTTAGGCTCAGCCTACTTATAAAGCCACAACAAGGCACATTTCACAGCGTCATTAGGTAAAAACAGTGCTGCATCATTTGTGCCAAACCCAAGCTCTGGCTACTCAAAGGAATCACCTCCATAGATGTGATTATTAGGCCTCCATAAAAATCTCCATAAGACATCTGCATCAAGAGGCGTCTGGAAACATTCCATTAAACTGTTGTAACACCTGTGGCAGGCAACCTTTTGTCCACTCCTCCATCATTCTTCATGATTGATGTCCATCCTGTTTTAGAAATCCGCCCTCCATTAGCCACCCAGCACTTAAGTGGGACGATAAGGCAGCGGAACAGGAACAGGCCGGACGGGAACAGCCTGTGTTTAAAACCTTACACAGGTTAACTGCCTCAGCTGCCGCTCCTTCATATGTTAAGTTCCCCATTGGAGGAGCAGTGCCACATAAAACTGGTAATGAAAGCAGGACAGGAGGACGGTGGAGGGGTGGGCTTCCCCCCGATCGCATTTCTGCTGTAGAAGCTGAAGGAGGTCTGTAATAAACTCCCCATTTAGTTGAAAACCACTGATGAATTGTTGGGGTCTTTGATGAAAGCAAATAAAAAAGATGTATTGGTAAATATTTTGGATGAATTCAACTTGGATGCTTGGCTTGCAACGGAGGATTTGTTCGAGTTCCCAATTTCCATTTTTGCTGCCAAGGTTTTTCCTGCCTTTGCCAAGACAGTTGCATCCGATTGTCACTTAGCAAATTTGAAGGGTGAGAAAGACACATTTGAAAAATCTTGCTTGTGATGCTTTCACAGGAGTCGCTCGTGGACGAGAGCGGCAACATACGGCTTGGTTTTCAGGCCTGTGGAGATATATTAAGACTGGGACATACCCACGCAGGTTCTTCCATCTGGAGCCAGCTGCAGCCCGGGCGATGGACACTGACATCGGACCTCTCCTTTCAGCACCTCACAGCCATACTGGCAGTTGGCCATGCCACAAGTGCGAGCGTCTGATGGATGCAGAAGAAACACAGCACATATTAACACGTGCTGGTGCCACAAGGGACTACAAAGGGGGAACAGTTAATGCTGCTCTCACCCACACTTTCTCTCCTCACATCCACACGCACAATCCGTACCCTCCAGCCAATTTGTAAGAGCCAGGCCACTCGCCTGCCTTTTCTGATATTAGCCAGCTTGACCCTGGGGTGCAGACAACAGAACAGCACACACTCTCCCATTATTAGATTCCTCTGCTGTGCAGTTGCTATGTGCTCACACCTTAGCTCAAGCAATCTTCTCTTGCCCACTTTTATCCTTTCTTACACCCAAAGACTGATAATCCATCTCCACCGTATCGAGGCACCAGTGTGCAGCGCCACTGTTGTGGAGCCGTGCTGAGCAGATCAAGGCCCCTCCAAAATAATAATATAATAGAACAGATTTTGTTCAGCCTCTCTTGATAACTTTGGACCCTAAAAAGGAAATTAAAAGTGAGGCTCACGCTGCTGCTGCTACTACAGCTACAGCAGGCACCCTGGAGTACAGTTTGATGACTGAGGCAGGCCCGGCTGATTAAATGCTACAGTGATCTATTGATCATAGCTGTAGCAGGGGAGAAAAGAGGAGCAGCAAGGTGTTTAACGCTATCATTCTATCATTACACAACAACTCCGAGAATAATTTTAGATTGCCTCAAGTGGTGAGCAATTCAGACTTTAAAAGGCGCCGAATGAATTTTCTTCTGATATAAAAGAACTAATTAAAATTGGGTACCAGGAGTCAAGTGGAAACGTGTGGAGAAAATAGTTATCAGGTGGGGAACAAAATTTACAGGGAGACATGTACGGGCATCAGCTTGCATTCTGTGGAACACCTCAGGGCAGCCAATAAGAAGTGCACATTCACTGGAGGGTCTACAGATTGTGTTTCTTTCATATTTTTCATTTTAAGGCCTCGCAGGGTTCTTCGCAGGGGTTCTTCACACTGTAGAGCTGCTGTAATGAAGCAGATCAACGTGGGGCTTTAATCAAAACAGTCTATCAAAGGATTGTGAGGCTGCTGTCAAAGGTATTCACATGAGTGGGAAAATGTATTTCATAATAGAGAGCATATGTCATCAGCGTTGCCTTGTGTTGGAACTCAGATGAATGCATCTTTGTAGTGAGGTGAAGAGTGCTTCATAGGAGCACATACAGGCTCCACAGCAGGAGAGGGATGAGGGAGAAAACACAAAGGGAATTAAAATATCCACATTTCAGACTACAGTGTGTTCAATCACATGGATGTAGATGTGTGCATGAGAAACAGACTCACTTCCACAGGTCCCGTCAGGCATCAGCATGTAGCCGTTTAGGCAGTAGCACTTGTAACTCCCGTACGTGTTCATGCACCTGTGTTTACAGGGCCGCGGCTTCAGCCCACACTCGTTCAGGTCTGCAGACAGAGAGGGACGACATAAGTGGACTGGAGGAGAGACGGAGAGGCCCTCCTATGCAGAGCTGAAATTAGTCAGAGGGCAAAGGTGGAGAGGTCAATCACGTCAAACCTCACCCATCCATTTACGTGCAAGTTTGAGGTGTCTACCTGTCTACGTGTGTGTTGATGTGTGTGTTTTGGAAGGGGGGTGGGGGGGTTGTCGCCATGCTCTGACAGGCCCAGAACTGCCCTCTTTGATGATTTACCAGGAAGAGGGTGTCAACTGTCAGGCTTACTACCACCTGCACGTGATAAAAGATGCTATTATACCCTCTGACTCATCTTGACTTCACGAGGCTGCAGCTTCGCCATCCAGCTCCCGTTGACAGTTATGTATAATTCCAGTGTTTTTATGCAGACATAAAAGTGGGGAGATCTCACCCACAACAGCCCATAAAAATCTTATTATAAAGTGATGCTGTCTGAGTTCAGAGCAGGAAGGGGCTCCTGGGAGAAAAAGAATATGCCCTGAGCTCAACACCTGTCAAATGCTTATGCAAATTCACATTATACTTTGCTTAGAACAGAGATTTTGACTAGTCAAACACTGGTGGAACTAATAACATTATTAATGCCAGAATTCCATTATGTGTTTTAGCAGCAGAGCCCTGGTGTTGTGTCTGCTGCCTCACTGGGATTACTTACTGACAGCCAGAGCCGTGATTAATGTCATTAGCTAAACCTCTGCACTTACTGCTATGACAAGTGCCATCTATGCGAAAAGTTTATAGTGGCAAATTTAAATAAATACATTTACATACATTTTCACATGAAAAGCAAAGGCGTAACTAATAAAAACAAAAACATCTGCTTTCCATTCGAGTGTTTTAGAATCAGGGATGTGTCGAAACGAGCGTCCTTCAAAGATAAAAGCTTATAGTTTGCTGGGTTAAATGAATAAAATGAATGTGTTTATTCCTCACTGTATAGCAGTAACATGACATTCAAACTGTGGTGAAATTTATCTCTCTAAGCCCTTTTTTCATGACAGATATTTTGACAGGTAACTGCATGCGAGGCAAAGAATTAACCCATAAATTAAATAACGCCTGCATTCCATTTTCAGTTTCTGGGCTGTGATGTTAAGCACGCCGGCTCACTGGCACACCTGAATGGAGCAGAAGTATCATTAAGTGCATTTCCATCTATCTGTTTTTATGCTTTTTTTTTTTCAATTTGTGTATTTCAAAAAAAGATTTTGTGCTGAAGTGAGGGGGAAGCTTGTCCACTCAGGGCTTCTGCTCAACTGAAAGCATTAAAAAAATTAGTGGCACATGAAAGTGTCAAATCTTTGAGAAGCGATTCCTCCTAAAATCTAATACATGAAACACACAGAAGCATTGCAGCCTCTTCTTCCACAATTTCTTAATGCCTGCAGACTGGAGAATTAGAGCCACCGACAGTACTTCGTTAGACCGCTGCTTTTTGCGTTAGGTCAAATGTCTACTGCATGAAACATCTCTTGGGTTATCTCGTTGCTTTCATAGCGGCAGTGGGAAGCAATGAACTTACTCCCATCACTGTCATTCACATTTGCTTTTGTGTATTTGGACAATCTGAGGGCACTCAATCATTTATATGAGCTGTTTCTGATTCTTCCTGCACTCATACTTAAAGAAAAAGGCTTTTATAGAGTCGAATGCAGTTATGCAGTTCTGAGGCAGAGAGAAATGCTTTTCATTTCAGTTTGCTTTAAACCACTTTTTTTCTCTCTCTCCTAAAGCAATTTTTAAGATGAAGCTTTCTCATAAAGAAAATAGTGTCACTGTTCCTGCAGAACATCAGTGAATTGAAGAGGGGCTGGATGGTAAAACATGTTCATACTGAACTGCTTAGATTAAATTCTTATTTTTACTTGGTTTTATTTAAATTTAGGTTAAGTAAAAGTAGTTCTTCTTTCGTTGGATATTCTGGCTTTCTATATGCAACTGTGGTGTTGGGTTAATGTCATGGCAGTGCAATAAGTGTCTCAAAGTGTAAGACATCATATTTACTCGTGAAAATTATCACTTGTTCGTCTAAACTTGAATAACTAGGAAATTTCACTTAGAAAAAATGTTGTATAATTTGCAGGACAATTGTTTTAGTTGGATGTATTTCCTTTAACAATAAAGTTCATTCAGCTTAATTTTACTGGATGCTTGATATTTTATTTTTTATTTTATTTTTTAAAATTAAACAAGGTTATGAAAGGCTGAAAGAATTTCAGGTCACTGTTTTCATTTCAACATTACTCATACAGACTATTTGCCCTGTCTTGTCCATAATAATAAGCAGTCCATAGCAAGTATGTGCACAGGGCTTAAAGACTTATGAATGCTGATTGAGACAATGCATATGGCTATGAGGAAATATCCAACTTGGCAGGAATCACATATTTTTTTCTATATATTATCCAAAACTCCCGCTCTTTCACCTGAATGTAGGGTCTGTTGGGAGAACCAGACACAGAAGGGAAAAATCCAACTTGAAACCACGCAGGAATGCATCACACTGGGATGACTCCAAAGAAATATAAATAACCTAAACTATGAATATGACTGTGTGTTTCTGTGATACAGTAGAACCATCACAAATAGACTTCAGCTCACTGTACAGCACATGATGGGTCATCTTGGCCTACCGCACTTTAAATGGTGCCACGTTTAGCTCTATGGACATACGCAGGGCACATTCTCTGCGAGCCGCATACCGCCTCCATTTAACAGATACCATAGATTAATTTGGATGAATGATGGAGCAGATGTTCAGTTTGTACATCCACAGACCTCATCTTCTATTAATGGATCTTCTGATCTGCTAAACCCAAGTTGGCTGAGTGATCAGTGGATGTGACAGGAATCTGGACCAACTGCCTGCATGTTTAACCTTCCAGACTTCAAGTCAACTTCCATGTAAACTCTTTGCGGTGTGTGGTGGTCAGTTTGTGAATGCAGTTGTTACATTGGGGAACTGTATAAAACATTTATAGCACTACTTTCACTGACTAGCAAGGATAGCGAGATATTTGACTGTTTTACAACAAAAAAAAAGTTTTTATTTTATTACAATGTCTACATGTGTTAGGAAAGCTAAATATTATTTGCTTTAAGGTTTGAAATTATGATCTAAATTAATCAGAAGGTATAAAATACACAGAATTAATATGGAATAGAAATATTGCTGAAACTTTTTTAAGAGCAAACAGGAACTCATGTTCAAGGCAACCCAATGCCGTTTCTCCTAAAACAAAAAGAGGTTCTTTAAGCAGGCAGTAAGCTGCACATAGATGCCAATATGAATATTAATATTGCAATTCACTCACATAAGTCTTGTTGCAATTCAATTTAGACTGTGTTTGTGCTACTGCTTGTTGGGCCACTTCTTAGTCTTTTTGAAAACCTATTAAAAATGACACTATTTCTAGACTGAAGTGACTCTAAATTCCTTATTAAACCAAAGTAAGTCAAAATTATTCGTCCTGTCGCGCCCTGTTCATTTTCACAGTTGCAGCCAAAACCCTGCAACTGTCCACAACATTCACACCTGCACACACACACACACACACACACACACACACACACACACACAATTGCACACACATATGCACATGCTCATCTTGACTCGTCACTTTTTTTTTAATTAGCCTTGTCGGTCCTGTTTTCCTCCTTGGTTTTTCGCAGTAAACAACTGGCATTCTCATTACTGCGATTACAGAAAACCATAGCAACACTGTCCATCGTCAGCGTGGCAGAGAAACAGGTCTCTGCTTGCCCGTCGTGCTGAAAAACAGCTTAAAAATGTAAATGAGGGATTATTGAAATGGTCACATTCTCAGACAGGGGAAGCTCCGTGAGCATCAGCACAAGCCAGACACAAGACACAGCCAGGCTCTCATCTACGAAGAAAAAACGGGGTGGAGAGAGAGGACAGACGAGACGCAGCGGACACAGAAGGATGGAAAACTGAGAGATAACGGACAGATATGACCACCAAGTGACAGTTCGACATGGCCTCGGGACTGCAGAAACTTATGTGATAGCAGAGGTGGAAAGCCCCTCTGGGGAGTTCACTGTACGGTAAATGAACAACTAAGACACATCTGAAGTGATGCAAAGTGGAGTGGTTTACTGGGTCAGCTCCACTGAGGTATGCTATGCTACATTCCCGACACGCCTCTATCACTGACAGAGAGATTAGCAGCAGGCCCTTTCTTGGGGATATGCTTTTCTATAAAGAAGATAACACTGGTTAGAACTCCGGGCCTTGTTCTAGCAGCGTCGGCGGACTGCAGCGTCCATGTCGATGATGGTTTTGAAAAGAAGGAGGAGCTCCTTGTTCCAGGTGCTCAAAAAAGACTAGAGAGGAAAATGAGATAAAAAGGAAGGGGACAGGGCAATAAGGAGAAAATCACGATGGCTCTTCGGTGCTGAGAATCTGCTTTTTAGGGTGAGAGAGCGAAAGAAAGGGAGGCTGATGTAGAGTGGTAAAAAAAAAAAGAAAAAAAAACGGGACATGCTGGGCATTCATGCTACTGAAAACCTGCTCTTGGGTGGTGCCTCTTCTGCCAGGAAAGACGGAAAGCGGTAAAAAGGTTGTTGAGAGTGACATTCACCCCTCCTCAGGCCACACAGTGCAGCACCATGCATGTTGCCAAGGGGGGAAGAAGGGAAGCTGCCGAGGGGAGGTCGATCGACAAATCTCACCCTCCGTCACTACTCTCGCTGGCTGATGGTCCACGGGAAGAAAGATAGGAAGGCGACCGGCCCACACTGGTGGGGTTAAATAGTCCAGCGCCTCTTCTTTCGACAAAAGAAAGTGGGTTAGAGGGGGATGGGGGGGGAGAGGGGCATGGAGGGTTTGATTGACATAAAATAGTGAAGGGTGGAGAATAAGTAAGGAGAAGAGAGAGAAGAGAGAGAGAGAGAGAGAGAGATGTAGTGAGAAAGAAAAGCACCAACCAGTGGATTAGAACACCTCTGACCACACCACATTCCTGGAAAGTAAAGAGGAACATTATGCAGCAAAGAGGATTACACTTGTGGGAATTGGGCATGAGCTGAGTAGCTGAAAAAAAAAAAACTTTAAGGCCACATGGGAGAATCAGCGAAAGTGTTTTTCTTTTCTTTCTTTTTTTTTTTTTTTTTGCGTCCCTTCCCCTCCTGCCCTCTCTCCTCTCTCTTCTGCATTCCTGTTTTGTCATGAGGGTGAAATAGGATCTCAGAGAATTACAGTATCTCACAGATTCAGAAGATCCCTTCTCAATTTATGCCTGGCGTTTCAAAGGTAGACAGGAGTTACCGTTTAAAGGGGCAAATCATTGCCTGACTACAAACGCTTCAGCCCCTGGAATGTCAGCCCCTCCCTTCAACTGTCTGCCCGTCTATAAGTCAAGCAGCCTTTCCCCCGGCAGGCGAGCTAACAACACCTATTGTTAGGTGACAGGAAGATGATACAGCTACCTCGGCCTGTTTTGCATGCTTTAAATCACTCGAGCATCTCCCTATTGAAGGGTACGATAATTTAACCTGAGAAGTTACGCTAGCCTACTGTTGCCTTGCCAACTCTTCCCAGGACAGAAACACTTGTCAAAGGTGTTATCTGCAGAGAGGAACTGTGGAGGGGCAGTGGAATAGGAGGCAGAGGAGGCTAAAAAACAAAGGTTCAGTGAGAGAATTACTTGGCGTAAGATGTAAACAGTAAATGGTAGTAAACTAAAAAAATCTTCTAAAAACTACAAGAAAACCTGAGGACAAATCCCTTCAACTGTTTTTTTTTTTTAAATAGTGAAAAATTCCGAAATAGGCATAGTTAAACTCAATTCAAATATCCTGAAAGTGGATCTGAGTTCACATTCACATGCATATGCTTGTATATCTTATGGATAAAAATTAAATGTGTGCCAGTAGATGTTTATTTGATGGGATCTGGACATGGCATTCAATAAATGTTGGTAAAAAAAAAAAGAAGAAGAAAAAAACCCTCTCTTCTATGATAACACAAAATAGCCTGAAAGCAGATGAAGGAGCTTGATCTGATCAATGAACACTTAGCCAGGTGCTGAGACTTCAAGGCTGACTCTCTGGTCTGCGTCCATGTGACACCTTCCAGCCATTCTCGGTGCATTTTTACTGGCAGTCCCGCAAGCAGGCATCTGTTATGAGGCAATATTAAAGCAGTGCTGCCGCTGCCATTGTGTTTTATATTGTAATACACCGTATCACCTCGTATCAGACACGTGTTCAGCCTGAATAGCAAGTGTCTTGCTCATTCATCCTCACGGTGAATATGTAACTTTAATATTGAATCATTACCAGAGAAGGTTAAGAGGAGATTCACTCCATCAATTTTATTTCTGTTCCTACTTTTCGCTCATAGAGGTTAATCAGGTCAAATATGACTTCATGCCCCTTTTAATTACCTTGTTTTAAAAGAGAGCACAGATAAAACAAATTTGCAGTAATTGGATGATAGCTGAGAGAAAATACACAGTCTGTCGACGTGCACGCAATACTTTTACTGTTAACAGTCGACAGCCAGGAAGACAAACAGTGACAGAGAGGGATCAGATTCTAAACCAACAAACCCTGAAGTATCTGTCGACACCTACGCTGAATTAAAATCATGTGTGTGAAGCAATCACCAAATTTTCTGTGGCTTTTTCCAAGATAAAGCTGTGCAAGATCCAGGTATTAGCTAATATTTTAAAAGCAGATATGGGAAAAAAAATTGTATACATACTTCAAGCCGAGTGCCAGACTGTCATATGTGAAGGGGTTTCACTTTCGTCTGGCTGACAGACAGGGAGAAAAAAAAAAAAAGTAGAAAGCAGCATCTGGAGACGCTGCAGCTGTAACGCTTCTGATGTCTGAGACGTCACTCCTTCAGCAGAATCTTTTAATAGTGTCTTAACAGCAGGTCAACTACACCTAATTAAATCCACCTGCACAGAATAATCATCTTATTAAAATGATTGGATCAGCAGGGGGAGTCTGCTGCCAAACTGTTAAACAGATTATCCCTATAATGAGTTTATTTGCGCTGCAAGAGCACATTCATCTATCGTCACCATGCTTCATGACAGAAACAATTCTCATCAGCACCAAGGGTGATGCACTTTCTCACAATCACGGGGACACTGCAAGTAGTACCTATTATTCCGGAAAGATGAGTGCCTGTTAATTTAATAATGAAAATAATCAGATCCATTCAAATTACAATCCACTCAGGCCATAAGATTTTTTTTTTTTGCGAGTAGAAATGAAAATCAAAGTGAAAGAACCACTAAAGATAAATTATTTGGCAGGTGAAAAGATCTGGCACTAAACATAACCATGTAGACCTTGAAATGTGAAGTAAATCTTTCATAACAGTACCAGCTAATAAAAGTTTGACAGAGGAAAATATGGCTTTGATTCCAAGAGAAATCAATACGGTGTCTGCTGTGCTTGTGTTTAGTGTAAACAGCCGTGTTTCCTCTGTGGTTTGTTGTTGCCCCACACAAGCAGTGTTCCTGAGGTGTTTAACACTCCTGTTAATCAGAGTGCCTCCGGGGCGACACAGCTATCCACACCTCCCACTTAAAGGTAGAGTCGGTGAGACTAATCCAATACACTATTTGTCAAATTCAGGAACTATGTCCTCACAGTAGCTGTCTGCACGCTGAAAAACAAAATCCGGTGTTTTCAGTCAGTTGTCTAAAACGGGAAACCAACAAAATGGCTCAAAATCTGCACAATACCACTGCAAACCCCCCTCTGTGCATGTTAGTGCTCATGCACAGAGGGGGGGTTTGGTTACTTCCCACCACTGACAACTGCTTGTTAAAGGGAATTCTAAGCCAACTTTGGATTGTTAGGGTCTCAAAATTAGTAAGGTCTATGAGGTGTGCCAGAAAAGTTGAAGGACTGGTGTCACAAAAGATATATTTCAAATCCAAGCAAGTTTTCCCCTTCAAAGTAATCTCCCTGGAGTCTAACACACTTTCCCAGCCTTCTCTGCCACGCCGCCATGCACTGCTGGAAGGGTTCTACCGGGATCCTCCGCAGCTCCATCGTCACAGCCATCTTGATGTCGTCCACGTCTTCAAAACGGGTCCCCTTGATGACCACCTTGAGTTTGGGGAAGAGGGAAAAATCCCACGGAGCCAGGTGGGGTGAGTAGGGAGGTTGCTCCAGCATGGCGATGTTCTTCTCAACCAGGAACTGTGGGATGCTCAGGACATTGTGAGCAGGCGCGTTGTCATGGTGAAGCAGCCACGACTTGTCCTGCCACAACTCTCGCCTCTGCTCGTGCACTGAATGAAGCAAACAGGATCTCTTTGTAGACGTGCTGGTTGATCGTCTGAAGGGGAAAACTCATAGTTTGTAGTTTGAAATATATCTTTTGTGACACCAGTCCTGGAACTTTTCTAACACACCTCGTATATCTTAATATGTTAAGCGCTGTGAGATGACATATGTTGTGAATCTGTGCTATATACTCTATTGCATTGAGAGGGATGAAAAATCACATCTAAATATGTCAAGAAGCTAAATATCGCTAATGTTTCTCCAGAATCACAGACTGAACCTTTATTACATGTGAACATGTGTCCATTTGTGTATGCATGTAAGATATCGCTTTGTAAACCTGTACACTTGTACTAATTCTACATTATAATACTTTAATGATGGATTCTTCCATCTCAAATCATCAGTGGCCTTCTGCTCAACCATCTCTGATTTGCTTGAAACTTATAACACATTTTGTTTGGATGACAACATCTGAGGAATTGTTAAAGATAAAAGCCTGGTTTTCACTGTTATTTCTAATCTTGCCATTGATTCAGAATCTGCAATTCTGGACAGGCAGATCAAATAGTCTTTGATAATGTGAACCAACATTGAAGCCACCACGAAAAGTTGTTGTGTACAAATTAACATGAAAAAAAATGATGATGCTGGAGTTAACTAGTGGTATTTTGCATATTTACCACCTGTAGTTGCATGTTACAACGATACAAAACAAAACAGAGTACTTTTTATTCTGAAATAACTAGCAAAAGTCATTTTTGATGGACTTGCACCACAAAAAAAAATGCTGCTACATAGTCTAGTCCAAAAGGAAAAGACTTTCTGGAGTTTCAAAGTCAGAGATGGTCGAGAAGAAATTGTTCTACAAATTGGATGATTTGCAAAGGAGTGATCCTGCTCTAATTGTGTGTGTTTTTTGCCAAATACTGCATAATTCTATCTACAGTTATTTGAATAAAATTCAAGGGCATTTACTGTTTGGCTGTCTGCAAAAAAAAAAAGCAACAAATGTTGAAGGTGACAAAAGGCTTAACAAAAGGTTTAATCGTTATAAATGCCTTCCAGTTTGTGATTTTGAAGTATAATTTGATATTTTAAAAGTTACCCAGAACTAAAGCTGACAGATAATGGAATAAAAAGTACAGTGTTTGCCTCCAGAGAAGTCTGAAGTAACACAAAATATAAGTACTTTTAAAAACAAGTCCATAAGTCTCTTTTCCCAGTTCCACCACTGGTTACAAATGCACGTATTATGCAGCTTCCCAAGGGAAATTGTTGTCCACAAAACAAACTTACAGATTCTACAATAATTTAAAAGCCATCAGGGTGACTACTTGACCTTTAGCAGCACTGAGGTCAGAGAAGCAGCTCTGGGCAACTTATTTCCCTCCTCCAGTTGTCTCCTTAAGATAAATGGAGCACTCCAGAGGGACAGGATATTAGAATGCTTCGAAACATTGCCCACCTGGCACATCAATAGTAAACCTCAAATCAATGTTTAACAGAGGCTGCATTTAAATGAGAAAATCTAATCTCTGGTCTCTGAATAATTAAATTGGTTTCCATAGCATGGGGGGAGTCAAAAAAAAAAGGATCCAAGGTTATCAACACCTATACAGGCTGAAAGGTCAACTCGAAGCAGAGTAAAATGGTAAAGCTCAGTAAAACGGCAAGAGCTTATATTGGACAAATGGGAGCTCGGCAGACGCTTGAAAGTACAGTTTCATCTTGAAAGGTCTTGGAATCACATTTGTCAGATAAGTCTGTCTGAATGGTTGGCAGCAAAGTCTATTGTAGTTGGATATGGGATGCGGATCCTTTTTCCTCTCCCCTTTGTTGCAGATTAAGACAAAGTAGAGCCGTCTGGACGGGCAGACAGGAGCCACCTATAGCCTCCAAATGCACGATGAGTCATTTGGAACATTCCGGAAAGGATTTCAACACCCCCCTCCCCCCTTGTTTTTAATTACACACTATCCTATTCCTGTCTTAGGGCGTGAATTCCACAAGTATTTTCAAGCCGCTTGGATGCACGTCAACTTATAGCTAACTGGGAGGCTTTAACACTTTTCAACATGTTCAAACTGTCGATGCAGCCCCCCCTTCCACACACACACACACACACACACACAAACACACACAGACAGACAGACAAAAAAACGCTTTCAATAGCACGTGTTGTACTCAGCCGGGCCAAGTTATCTCAGGTCAGTAATTGTGATGTTATCTTCACAGGAGATGATGCACTCCCGAGATCATTCAACGTGGCCTCAGCACTCATTTCCATTCGAGCTGAATCAGCGCTCTCGCTCCACCTCCTCCCCCTGTGATTAAAGCATCTCGCTGCTGTCGGCTGACGGCAAACCAGCTTCCGCTCTGGTGGCAGCTTTAATATGTTGTGTGGTGGAGATTTGGCCACAATAAACAATGATTACCCAGCTGTTGCTCATAGCAGGGGTTCTTCTTCACTTAATTTGCTTGTGAATAATATGCAAGTCAGCAGGGATGTGTGCTGGGCGGGGACCATTTATTTAATATGTTCTGACTTTTCCTTTTTCTTTGTGATTTGTTTTTTCATTTAGGCGCCCTATTGTGAATTAAAAAAAAACATCTTAAACAACTACAAGTGAACAACATCCAGATTTATAGCGTTTACAAGTTACAACTCACCTTGATTGCAGGTCTTGCCAGTGAAGCCGGGATGGCACTTGCACTTATTGGGTCCCACGCAGTCTCCATGCTTGCAGCCAGGCTGACACACAGCTGTTCAGGGAGGATTCAAAGAGGAAGAGACAGATCAGTGCAGCGTCCTGGCAGACTACTTGTACCAGATCAGGATGACAAAGCACTTAATCCTACCGCTTCTTGACTTCCACAACCCTTCGGCTGTAAATTATCTGTTTACTCCACATTACAGCAATAAGACATCATGATGCTTATTCATGTAGGAAATGCGGCATTTGTTTCTCCCTGTGTGACAGCGATATTATCGTTGACTAATGATAATAGAGAAGACATTTTCAGCTAACCGCTTTATATATGGGAGTTAGTTTTTTGGGTTTTTTTTCCCCCTTCACTTTGCACCACCCTGGATTTTGGCAATGTTGTAGTGTCGTTATGGATATGAAACGATCCCACACCGTACGAGATAAATGAGAAGTTTGACCTTTTGACACCCCAGCAAAGTTTTGATCTCCCTTGTTTTAAATTGCAGCGCTCATATTTACGCTGGCGTACAGTCAACAAAGAGTGCGAATAATATTCCCCCCTTAGACTGAAGCTGAAACAAACAAAAAGAACCAAAAATAGTAGATTATAATTAGTTCCTCAGTAAAGCGTTGCCCTGCAGATCGTACATCGTGTGTGGATGGTGATATTTCAAGCGCATACGGAGACGTGATAGTGCAGCTTCACTGACTCTGTTCTGTCTCAGTGAGCTGGAGGCTCGCCCTGCTTATCTGACTGCACTTACTGCAGCTTGCTTCTAAGCATGTCTGATACATGAGGTCCCAGCCAAGTGTTACTAATTTTCATTAAAAGCTTCATTAATTATGTCATAATACAGTGCCATCAGAGGACTCAATTATCACAGCGGTAGAAGAGGCAGCACATACGTGTGTGTGTGTGTGCTTTTGAGTTGCTGAGAGAAACAGTGTTTTATCACTCCAGCCAGTTTGTTCTGTATCTGGAAAGGTGTGACAAAGCATGAAGCTTTATTTGCGGCGATACAGTTATAGGAGCAGCTACTTTATTGTGTGGTGATGCCCTACATGCAACCACCAAACAATCCTTTTAGCCACATACCCTGCATCTAAGGGGGTTTTGTACCTGGTTCCTTGTGTTTATCACTGTGACCTTTAGCAGTGTAACACAAAAGCCATCTAACAGATTTAAGTGTGGTGCAGGAGAGGGCAAAAGAGGAGCCAGTTAGCAGATGTTCAGACTGAAAAAAAAAACAAACACTGCATTTAAAACACAAAAGCGCCTGTGTTGATTTGAGAGTTGCTTTAGGTACCACTGAGGAAATAAAAAATGATCCAGAAAGTCCAGTTTAATTAAATATATCCATGATGAATAAATTAGCATATTTGGGAGCCAAGTTTGTATTATCATAAGAGAGTTTCTTTATCTAAGGATAGTGTTTGTGGGATACCATAAAATAAAGTTGCAACACCCTACCAAGTCGTTTACTATGGGCTTTTCGTATACAGTATTTAGTTGGTCAACATGCATTGGAAAATTACAATGCTTTGCACTACGGCTTGATTTCTTTGCTGGATGTCTCTGTGTTCATTTACTCAAGTCATTTATATCTGGACAGGCCACTGCGCCAAAAGCAGTCTCACTGAAACGATAGCAGTGCTACTGTTAGTCTGAACATGGTCTTAATTTATGGATAAAACCTCCACAAAGCACTTTATATTTATGCCTATGTGACTAAATTGTGAGTAGAAGCCATTTTTTTAAATTTCTAATTTTATGCAGAACTCTTTCACTGTTCCTCTGTTTCAGTTTTCAACAGACTCGGTGTACAATATATCTGAGCAGACTGCCAGACTGTGTGGTCTATTTTACATACACTGCTATAAAATCTTGACCACACTATGCATTTGCAGGTAAACTGACATTCAGTATGCACATATCAGTCCAGACCAGTTCTGCAAACCTTCTTAACATTGTAATGGCATTGGATAGGTGTGTAGTGAACTGTGCAGCCTTGGTGGAGATAATCACTGTTTAAGTTTTATAAATGCTAAAAATAAGGTGAAGCTACTTTAACATGTACTAAAGGACACCTCATCGAACAAAAGCAAAAAGGCTGAAATAATACTTTATGTATGAAATGTAAAGGGTCAGAACTGGGTTACAATCTCTGTCATTTCCATTTATACGCATTCAATTGGCAGACGAGCAGCACAATCCAGAAAGAACAAGCTGAGCTCCTCAGGTTCCAGCCTGTAACATTGTTCACACTGAATTCAAAGGCACAAAGGTATGAGATGAATCCTTTAACTGGTGTAGATAACATCTCCAGACTCATTCTACTTTATTAGGCTATGTAATCAAAGAGAATGAAGGTATTGTTAGCTCTCTGTCAGGGGCCTGCGATATGAGCCAGGTTGTTAACACACTAAGCGAGTCAAAGTTCACGATTACAAATTAAAAATGACCCAATTTGTTGGAGGAAATCAAAAGAGTTTTACTTCGCTGGAAGTAGAAGATTGTCAGACCTCCGTCTGGTCAGCAGATAAAAAGGAACAAAGCTACTGATGTTTGAGTTAGACAGCAGCCAAGTGAAGTGCTTTTTGTTATTCTGCTACATGGAGGAGGATTTGATTAGCAGGATCAGAGGCAACCATCAACACGCTTTGCCTCTGAGGGTATTTTTAAGCTTCTGGTCTGGCAGAGAGATCAGGGAAACGGCTAGTGTTCATTAACCACAGCAAAGGACAAGGAGGACTAAAAATGGCCGGGCCAGCTGTAGGGCCAAACATAGCACGTATGACCCTCGTTCCATAAGCACCATCAAAACAAGTCGAGTGATGACACACTTTCACTCAGCTATTCCTTTGAACACAAGAAGGCTTGTACTGATGAAGATTCTTTTCATTTAATGACTGTTTATTAATGCCTGATTGTGGCAGAGGCTGCTAGTAATAATTATTTCATTACAGTTTTAATTAATTCATCACCAGTGTCTCTTTGCCAAGGAGGTTGTATTTTCAGTAACGTTTGTCTGTTTGTTGGATTACGTGAAAACTAAACAAATTTTCATGAAAATTGGTGAAGAGGTAGAGCAGGGCCAATGAAAAAGTGTGCATATGTTAGTGTGTGTGTGTTTCGAGCTCTGTAGCGCCATCAATGGGTCATAGGTTGAATGTGTGGTTTTGCATGTGACCTTTGAATCATATGTCAGATGTCCACAATTGACACACTGTTATAATTCAGTGGATCAAGCCAAGTTCAATGCATCCTGCGTCGTCACTTTTTGACATTGCGTATTTTGACAAATCGGATTTTATGAATTTTGTTTTGAACATTTTCATAGGCCAGACATTTTCTCCAGTATCATCAATGTCTTCAAATCAAACTTCATGAAAGCAACGTCATATCTCATCAAAACCAAACTATGAATATGAGGCTAGAACCCCATTTTTCAGGAGGCATAAGCTATTTTGTAGCATCTGACCACTTGGGGGTGCTGCATTTTACTTGCATTTCATTGAAGAGTAGACGATTGTATCGGGGTAGTCTGCACTATCCAAGTGCCCTTTTGGTTAGCATAATAAATGATGTAAAACTGAAAGAAACAGGAAATTATAATATTTGAGACGCTGAAAGTAGAGAATATTTAAATTTTTAATTCATAATTTTGAGGATTTTTTTGTTTGTTTGTTTTTGGTAAACTTTGCTTGATCAGTGACAAATCATTGATAAACAAAACTGTTTCATTTCATGGATAAAAATATCCATGACAAACACCAATAGTGGCTTGGGTCCACCAGTTTTACATTGTTTTTGTCTGTACGCAATGAAAATTGATCAAGTTGGTAACGGCATGGTAAGTGTATTATTTATTGATGTATTATGGCATCATTGTGCAAACTCGAGTCAACCAATCAAGAGTTCTCACATATGCGGAACATCTCCAACCACAACAAATACTCTGTTTTAACTCTGCACCATAAATATTGTGTATACTGTATATATTACTGATGCAGTAATTAAAAAATATTATGGATTTCGGTTTTAAGGGTTTCATTAGTATTCCAAGGGGTTGACCGGAGGGGCAGCTAAATATTAATAACTCGCTAAAGAAGTTCAGCATAATTCATGTTATACATAGCTTCAGGTGAAATTGGGTCTGCAGAGTGTAAGCTGTTTGCATGGGTCTGAGGCCAGGGGGGAGGAAGACAGTCGCCGCTGAGGGGTGTGAGGTGCTACTTGTGATGGGAAGTGGGGTGGGCTCGGCTCTATAAATAAGTGAGCGAGCCCAGGATTCAGAGGATGTGCCCCCAGCAATACATGTCGACCAAGATTATTTCAAGAAACATGTGGAGCTAACCTTGGGGCTGGCACCTTATCCCGACTACTCTGTGAGTTAAGGCGAAGAGAGCTGCAAAACAAATAGCCAGACAAACAAAGATTGCGGGCAATGTTTAGTCTTTGAGAGGAAATAAACAAACACACATGATGTTAGAGGGCACAGCCTGGTCATTTTGACAAGCAAACATTCCTGGGAATGAAAAAAAAAATCAATAAAAATACAAACACTCGCACAAGTTCTGGAGTCTCACATGTTCCTTGTTGCCTTCAGGTACATTTTGAACACACCAACAATCTAAATGATGTCCGAGTTAAATGACTGTCTCCAGGGATGTCATATTTTTCCTGAAAATGTTAACTACTTATTCCATATCTGAATAAAGCAGGTTTAAGCAGTTCTCCCCTCACATAACGAAGAACAGGAAAACTGTAATTCTGATATTAAATTACACCACTGGAGTGAAAGATAAAAAATACCACCAACATCATTCAAAGAGATCCTTGTCCTGCTTTTGCCTATATATATATATATCTATACAGCGCCCTCCATAATTATTGGTTAAGATATGTTAAAAGCCTTCAAATAAATTCAATTTTTATTGCAGAAGCAAACTCTCACACTGAAAAATGTAGGAAAATGTAGCCTTCAACTCGACTCAAATGAATTGTTGGCAAAAGGGGGTTGTACAAAGTACTAACATCAAGGGTGCTAATAATTGTGGCACACATGATTTGATGTAAAATAATTATTTTTTAATGTGGGATTTTTTTCAGACTTAATAAATGCACTTGAATTAAAGGTTGAATTTTCCTCTTTTTTTTCATTGTGGTCCTATGTTATTTAGAAAAAAACAGACTTTACTAGAAGCTAAAGAACACATCTTAACCAATAATTATGGAGGGCGCTATACACACACACACACACACACACACACACACACACATATGTAAGACAAAAATTGCTGCAGCTACCAGCTTGTGAACTGATTGTTTTTTCTTTAGGCACTTGATTTTAAATTGCTGCTGATTCCACGTTCCCTTACAATCAGAATTGTAAAACCTAATTGAAAAGTAGCACTGAACACGCTGCTTTTATTTCTGCATACATTGCCTCCAATTTCAACGAGCGAATCCTTCTACTGTGCTTTCACCTCGGACAGATGAAAAGAAACAGAGCCTTTACAGGCCGGTGATAATGAAAGAAAGTGGAGCAGACAAGGAAACCACGCAGACAATCATGATAAAGTGAATTACTTAAACTGAGGTATCACTTTTCTCCTTTCATCGCTCACTTGTTAGCTCACATTACCAATTCAAAAGTCCTGCCTTAATCCTGGCCGCACCATTTCAAGAAACAAAGACTGCACTCAATCAAACTAAATCCTGGTCTCAGTGGATTTGTAAAATCCACCAGGACCTCTGAGGAAATTATAATGTGTGATCTATTTAATATGGAGATGATATTCAAGCCTTTACAATGAGGAGAAAAGCACGTCTTTCAACCCAAGCTGTTCTTAAGTCTGGTGGGAAGATCCCAGTTAATCAATACAAGGCTCGGGTCCTTTGAGACGCATCAAAATCAAGTCACAAGTCTTCATAAGCAGATTAAGTCAGTTCAAGTCTCTCAGGTGTACTGAATGATAAAATGTCATGGCATTTGGCAGCTGCCTTTCACTCTTATTTTATATATATATATTAAACTCTGATTTGAATTTTGATTTGTTTGTGAAATGTATTTTCTCTGGAGTCCAAATCCTCTGCTCTGGTTTCTGATAACAGAACCAAATCCTGTCCCCAGATAACAGCAATAATATCTGACAATCCTCAATTTAGTTTTTAGAATGATTAACCACAATGTTTAAGTTCAGTTTATTTGTCACGATAAGTACCATACGCTCTGAGAAAATAGCTGCATAACATGTTGAGCAAACTTTCTAAAGTCTGAGGAAGTAATCCTGGAGTCATCATCGGAGTTATCTCAGTTTAGGCTCACGGCTTTACATTAATGTCAGAAAGTCTGTGGGGGTGCAAAGTTTGAACGGTGTGGACTGAAAGAGGCTCAACAGACATTACTGAGTTGTATTATGGAAGGTTTAGGATCCTGTGCTGGGGTGGATCATTCTAGGGCTAAAAGTTAAGATATCTTAACAGGGATGCTTTGATTTTCATTGTTCTTTTTTTAAATCTATGGTGACAGATCAAAATAGCCAGATTACTCCCTTAACAGTCTGTCTATCTGCAATATCTGTGCACAGCAACAGTGATATGATTCATATTAGGGAAAGGTATTGGTTTGGCAAATTAACTGGTTAAGATATAATTAAGGTTCGAGGACTAAATTGCTTTATTAAGGTTTGGCAAAAACTGTGATTTTGGGTGCAGTAAAAAGGATGATAAACACATACTTCTGTCTATTACATCCATCTTTTATACCTCTACTCTCCATCTTTCATGGCTACACTGCCACCTGCACTGACCCTGAATGTTTAATTAATCCTTTCCGAACATCTACAGTAATATTGAGAAAATTAGCTTCAAATTAAAGCCGGCCTCTTCTGTAACCTTGCAGATGTATCACCTGACATTAACAGTCATGAAAGATCCAAGCTCTTGCTTTGACTCGCTGAGTGGACCATTTGGAAGCGAACACAGCTCGCATCAACTTGTTGAAAAGTCAGCTTTTCATCTTCATCAAGCGTGAAAAGAGAGGGAAAGTATTTTCATATGATTACAGTAAACTGTATTACACTGGGAATGCACTTAGAAATGCAAATGTCCAAATGCTCACAGTGGCAGTAAAATGTTCATGGTGGCAGCTGGTTAGAATAAGTAGCTTCCAGTGTGGCTTTGCCTGCCGGATGGCCTGTCAGAACATTTTGAGTGGAGCTTCAGTCTACTATAAATCTAAAGCTCCTCTCTCTCTTACTCCATCTGCCTGTTTTTCTCACTTGTCTCACCATCCTAACGTCTCTCCCTCTACAACAGCAATCATCTCTAACTCCTTCCCTCTAAACCATTTCCCTTACACCTCAGGATTTCTTTACTTTTAGTCCTTTCTCTCCTCTCCCACCGTCACTCTTTCAGCTCTGGGAGCTATGAAAAAGAAAATCAGGGTTGATCCATTAAGTTTCTTATTCTTTGAGAGAAGTCGCACAAACCGATCGCTGAGCTCTGCGGCTGAGAAAGCCACAATCCAATAGCTCCAATCTAATCTCTTCTATCTCCACTGAAACTTACCAACACCTGAAATCTGCGATGGCTGCATCCTCTCGCACACATGCGGACACAGACGCACACACACATGCGCACATCCGTGATTACACTCGATTTCCTTCCTAAACCTTCCACCTCCCTCCTCTAAGGTTTAAATCAGCACCTTACTGACTTGATGGAATGCTGATTGGAGTCTCAAGTGAATGGATTTGAGCGCTGCCCAGTCAGAAGTATTTGAAAGCATCAAGGCAAGTACTCACTGAGTGATTTAACTCACAGAACAGATATGGTTTTGTTGAAAAAGAAGGAGAAAAAAAAAAAGGAACGTGGTCAAAGAAGCAGCTTGATATGGTGTCTGAGCTCAGAATTAGTTGATACTTTTGGCTCGATATGGAACATGTGGGACTCCAGAGCAACATAGAAAACATGCTCACACACTGCTGTTTGGCTGGTCAAGTAAATGATACAAACATGACTTATTAATGCGACCGTGCTGGATTTATTATTAATGACGTAAGATATATTATTGCCTCGAATGCAAAACAACGATTGCTTTGTCTCATGAAGTTGTAACCAGGCTGCAGCAATAATCATTGGGGGCTTGAATGGGTTAAACACTGTACGAGCACATGAATCCGTTCCTGACCTGTACTCTCGGCTCCTGTGATAATGAAGTCCTGTTCATCTTACTTCGTTTCCATCCTCCACCAAAGCGCATAACTATTCCATCTCGAATTTTCTGAACATGGGAAGCTGTAAAGGCAGAGAGCCCAGTAGAGTTGCACTGGGAGGTACTGGGCACCGAGATGGCGGACTCCTGCCAAGATTACTGTTGAGTCTGGCCCCGTGTTCAAACAAACACTATCAAATGATACAATTGAAAGAGAGATGCTTCTGCCTATATCGTTCCAACGCAGATTTGTGGTTCAAGTGTCAAAGTGTGAAAAGGTAGGAGGATTTTAAACAAGGTCAACTTCGGTATAAAGAAACACCATGAAATCAACCCCCCTCAAGTTACCAGTCTAGATCTGTCCCATAAACCATTAGCATAACTTGTTTTTTTTTTCCGGCTCTGAGTGTTTATGTAAGAATAAAATTATCATATTTTGTTTCTAATAGACATGAAGCACGAGGTGGATAAAAAGCAGATTTGTCTCACAAAGACCTTAGGTTAATCTGGCTGAGCTAAAAGGAATACAAAACAGTGGGGCCATGAACTCAAGTAATGCTGTTTGTATTCCCCAGAACAAAATGAGAAATCTCGCAGTACACACCAACATCAAGTGAAAAGATGGAACTTTGCCACTTTTATATGAAATTGCAGTGAAAAATAACTGCTAAACTTCGGCAATGTTTCAGATCTCCAGCACAGACCTCTGGACCCGACGAGCAGTGTGTGACATGTTTTCCACAAGGGAATACACAAAATACAGCAAGTTAAACAAAAGGTCAGTTATAGCATGGCATCATGAGCTGCAACACCTAAGAACATAAATCAAAATATGGTAATTTAGGCAATGGGAAAACACGAAATGAGTGGAAACATAAACATTATTTTAAGAAACTATAAATATGTGGCCAGAAACCAACATGCAGAGTTATGAACCCCTATGGGCCTTTTCCACAGCAGGAACTTAACAACCTGAACTTCTTTGGTGCTGCTAGGTTCTGTTTTTTTTCCCACTACTTTTTACAAACTGGGATATTATCTGGCAAAGAAAATTAGACACCACATTGAAATATTATTTGCTGTTCAAAAGGTGATCAGCAATGTAAAGACGTCGTGCTAATATTGATATTCTTCGTCACCGTGGATGGAAAAAGTTCAAAAGCAGACACTATAATAGAAACTATTTGCTTTGAGTTTGTGGTGGTGGTTCTTTGTCGTGACGATTAGCGTGATCAGTCACGATCAAAAGCACTTCCAGCAGTCCCCCTGAGAGTACCTGAGACCTGGATTTGGTATCATGTCTTGATCAGCTCAAGATTAGTGGAAACAAAAGCACAACCAGCAGTTGAGTTTAGGAAAAAATGGTTCATTTGTTTTCTTGCCAAGAGTTAGATGAGAAGATTGCGACCACTCACATATCTGTACACAAAATGTGAAGCTAAAGCCAACGGCTGATTGGCTTATCTTAGCATAAAGACTGGAAACAAAGGGGAAGCCAAGCCCCCAAGGAACAGTACAAAGCTGTGTGGTGATTTTGATGTGGTAGCCACTCTGGGTAGAGCAACTTGGAGTAACATCATGGACCACACCGGCCCCAAATGCACAGTTCAAACGTTTAAAGAAGTGACTCTTTGTAATATCAGAATCTGATCGATTTGGCCAATGACATTTGTAATTATTTCACACTATTCATATTTACAGGCAGCCAACATGAAGCCAGCTGTGTGCACGCTCTATAGTCCCAAAATGTGGAAGTGTGAGGATGCTGGCTGTGATGGATGGATATGTGCAGTAAACTTTCAAAGAACTGGTGCACTGTCTTTAAATGTGGAAACAGCTGCCTTTGCTCTGTGTAGAGGTAAAAAAATGTCCCAACCAGCATCTTTAAAGATCACTAATTAGACACTATATCTTGTTTGTTTTATCTGTAATGCCTTAGATTTTTACTTATTTGTAAAGGGCCAGCATAGCTCTTCTCCAGTGTCTTCTTGCTAATCTAAGCTAACCAGCTGCTGGCTGGAGCCTCATGTTTAACGGACACATATAGGAGTGGTATTGATTTTCTCATCTAACTCTTGGCAACAAACCGAATAAGTATATTCCCTTGCCTATTCCTTTAAATTGCAGGTTGGTAGAGGCTGTTCCTGGGGTGGAAAAAGGCCTGTTTATGTGTTACCCCCTTCTTTATTAAACGTCCACAGCAAAGCAGCAGGTTTACTGTCACAGGCACCAAGCCATGCAAAAGGGTTTAACATTTGTGAGGAAAGCTTCTGGTATATTCACACATCCCTGGGGAGCATTACAGGAGAGCGCAGGATCTTTACACAGCATAAATATGTCGAAAATGTGAAATGATAACATGGCACAGAAGTGTGGTGTTGTGATACAGAAGGACACATCCTCTGAATCCTCTAAGTGGTGTTGCTGAATATAGTGATGAGTCAAGGTATGCACCTGACAACACCGTGGATTGTGTTAACGGCACTATTTCTGCTTTTCTTGTTCTGGCGGTATTGGCTAGTTGTAATCTATTATAAATCTCGTGTCTACCCTTGAATGTATCCACCTGCCGCAATGGTCTCCCCCTCATTACGGTCACCCCGCAGTGTGAATATAAATGTCAGACGGTCCAACCAGCCATTACCATCAATCTTTACTCAAAGATCGTCCCAGGTGCGATGCTCCATTAGCTCTATGTTGCACCAGTATGTATGTGTGTGTTTCCCTGAGCCTTGTGCTGGTTGTTACAGCAAACATAGCCGCTGTTCAAGAGCATCTCTGACCCCAGCATGAAACCACGCAACCTTGTTAGCCCTGTTTGCCCCCAGCAGCAACAGCAGGCGTAGTGGCACTCACGCTGGCAGTGACCCCAGGAGCGGCGCGTCCATCCCCAGCAGCAGTCCACCCTGGCCCCGTATCGGCACAGTCCATTGGATGATGCCATCTGCCGTGGCCACCTGTGAGTGGATGACATTATTAGTTCAGAGCCAATTAAAACGTCCTAATGAAAAGCAGGGTGTTTTTCTTGGGTTTTTTTTTTTCTGTGTTGCTGGAGTGCTTCAAAGCTGATTCATATTTTCCTGCTGTAGAAAGAAGAAAACAAGCAAGATGAATTTATAGAATAAATAATGACAAGTTGTTTTTTTTAACTTGTGCACTATCTCACTAGCTGTACATACGTCGAGCTAATTATACTGGCTGTATGAAAACAGCTGTAAAATAGGCAATACACGATCAATTTGCAAATATCAGATAAAGAAGGATCGAGCACCTCTGCATGCTGCTGGTCCTCCCAGCTCTACAAACAGAACTGTAGAATGAGCTAAACATAGACACTTAACAAATATTGACTGTTGGGAATGAACTCAAATCCTCTTTTGATAGATTATTTTCCAAATTTTCAATTTCCAATGTTGTCCTCCCATTTAAGAGTTTTGGTGGAGAGTGTTTTTTTTTCCTCATCCAACAGGTGAGCATAAGGGCTCTTGAGCAAATTAAAAAGCTCTGTAATACATTTTGATTTATTTTGTTGGGGGGGATTTGGGCCTCGAAACACTAGCTTGACTCCAACTAACATGTCAAAAATGCTTTGTAAACAATAGCTCATTAATAAATCTGAAGGACCCCAGCTCTGTCACACATACTGTGCTTCTGTATGCAAGACGAAAAACACTAAAATTGCTCCTCTCTAGAAACAGTGGTGAGACAGTTGTTGCATTTGTCTATCAAATGTCAGATGATCATGACAAATGACAGCACATTGCAGTTTCCCAGATCCTGAGGTGATGTCTTTCAGTTTCAATCCCAATTTTCATCTCACTAACATAAAGATAAAAGATGAAGAACAGCAGTAAATAATCACATTTGAGAAGCTACAAAGAGGAAATATTTACTGTTTTGACAATGGATTTGAACTATTTTGAATCATTTTCTCATTGTTTCCCCTCTTGGAAACAATAAAAGCATATATAATGCATATTTGAAGGGGTAAAAGTGAGGCGTGTGAGGGTGCTGAACACTGACTTCTCACTGCTTCACTGCTGCAGATTATCTTTGCATCATGGAAATAAAACTGATAGCACATCAGATCGTGTTGGTTTGTGTGATGTCAAACTGGAAACCCGTGTTGAAAGGCTGCCAGAGCCGATTTGAATTTCGCCTTCAGTGTGCACCGCTGACACTCACATCTGAGGACGCCACAGTGCTGCTGTGTTCATTTTAGGGCTTGTGAAAAAGATTAGAAACTATGTACTTCCGGGTGCCCTTGAAAACACAGTATTTTCCTCCACTGACAATTTCATGACAGGGGAAGATGCTATCATCTCTGCTACAGAGGGAACGGGCAGGTATTAGTTTTATACAGATATAGGTTATTTTCCAAGCACCGCAATTCCTCTCAGAGAAATTATTGCCGGATGTTTTTGTTACACCATGTTCCTTTCTGCACAGAGCGAGAAATAGCTTCTTGGCAGACAGAGCATGTGGATTACCTTTTTATCTGTACCAAGGCCGACCACGTATTTATGGAGAAAATAGAGTGAAGGAATGAGTCCATTTAAGGATATTTATGAAAAATCCAAGCCACATACTTTCAGAGCCGAGCTTTGACATGTTACCTAAAATCTACCAAATAATAAATGAATCAGTGAGCAGGAGAGATCTGGGTGAATTTTCCGAAAATAAATGCAGCCAAACTGCATTCTTCAGCACTGAAACTGTTTCACTGTCATCATAAGAGGCATGGGGCACACAGAAGTTCCACACAGATCATCGAAAACATCCAAAATATGAAAACCAAAACGTTTTAATTTGTACTGTGGAGCTGGAAACACGGTAACCCTTGGCAAAACAAAAGAGACACTCTCTTGATACACTTGCTTTACACAGAACATGCTTTCTTTTATACCTCCATGAGAAAGTGAGCCTGTTGCTCAGTATTCAAGACACATCCCTCGCCGCTATCCCTGCCTATTAGTGTCTCTATGCCAAGATGAGGAAATGCTAATGCTTGCCCCCGCTGCCAATCACCTCATTGGAAAAAAAAAGGCAGATGGATGCTAAGTGAGAGTGGCAGATCCAGGGAAAATGTTTGTCTGCTGCCTGGCAAAGCAGGAAGGCAGTCAGTCAAGCAGGAGGAGAGGAGAGGAGAGGAGAGGAGAGGAGAGGAGAGGTAGCAAAAGAGAAGGAAAAAAAAGGAACGGTATAAAAATTAAGAGAAACGGAAGAAACGAAAGGACATCGTGGGGATCTGCTGCCCCTCTGTACCATAAAACCTTTTTACATAAAACAAAACAGGAACTTCTCTGCCCGTGGCCAAATTCATTTAACTTGGAGGATGGTGACACCTTGAAAAACAACCTGACAACCTCCCAGGACATTTCCTTGATGTTTAGATCCAGCAACTGGAGCCTGATTTCATTCAGATGTTTTGAAAGCCTCTGTTAATTTACTCATAAGTGTGCATAAGGTAATCACCACATTAGAATATGGGGGCATCAGGTGGGAAGAGTTTATGTTGCTTTGGGTGCACCTGTTCCTGCATAACCTAATGGTCTCTTATTCACTTGCCTGTTACAAAGCAATTATCCCATCTAATGACTCCCTGTAGAAAGCTTCCCATGCAACCGCGGATACACCACCGCAGTGAACAGTCTTCTGTGAGTTAAAGAGATATTATGATTTCTGCCACTGCTCTAATTGTTAAAACGGAATGCCAAGTCCAGGTTTTGCATTCCTTACACGCTCATTGTGCCGTAATGGATTTGGATAAAAGCTGAAACTCTCATATGATGTGTTAAGTCACCCTTGTAGTACTTTCTGACACTTTGTTCGTGATTAAGTGGTGTTTAGCACCAATCCTGGTCCTTGATCTCTCCATTTAGACTTTTTTTTTTTTTTTTTGGTCTCTAGCAATAAAAAAAAAAAAAAAAGTGTGAATAACTCTTTTCTACTGTGCCACCTCCTCTTTTTCAGTATCTTTGGGAGTCTTTCATTGGCCCACCTGGTGAATATCACATCTAACAGTGTTGATTGCCACATGTGTTGAGAACTGAGACAATGACTGCAGATAATTAGCTTCAGCTGCATATCACAGTATTGTGTGATGTGATTTTGGTACTTGCTCAAAGGTTACATGACTAAATGTTAATCAAGTACAATTTTATATAACCAGTTAATCATATTTTTCAAAGCGAAAGACCTAAAAACGCACACTGTGCAAATGTGTATAATGTTCTCTGGTTTTGTTCGTCCTGTATGATAATGAACTGGTTATATTTAGGTTGTGGATTGTTGGACCAACGAAAACAATCAGTCTGAAGTTGTCAGTTTAGCCTCTGGAAAAGTCTATTTTCCTTTTTTTTTATTTTTTTTTATTAAGCCATAAAACAAAGGAGATGATAAAAGTAGCAGAGTTTGAACTCCTACGTGGATGGTGGGTGAGAGTTGTCTGAGAGGTCTGTGAGAGCAATAAAGAGACAGGAACATCTTGAGATGCAACAGGTTCTGGATTACTGAATCAAATATTTTCCTCTAATGCTTTCTCCTACACACTCACATATAAATACACATGCATGGTAAATAGGGAGTCACTTTTCGCTGCCTCTCTGTGCCGAATTTAGCCTGCGGCAGTCGTGCACCTCGGTGCAATCTGAACTTGAAACAAAGGGTTTAACGCAATTCATCAGTTTTATCACATCAACACTGCGGCAATGTCAAATACACAGTTTTCTTCTTTTTTTTTTTGAGCATTTACAGGTTGATAATCACGACTTATCACAGTCAACAATGGGAGCTAAGGTGACGCTACACAATAACGAAGACCATTTTCTCAGATGTATCTTGTCCTCTGTGATATTCTACTGAACGGAAAGCTGGCATATCAAATGGACGTGAGCATAATACCTGTATTTATTACCCTGAAGCCCTGAATAATGATTCTAAATTGCACTAAGCCTTGAGGGAACTCAAGCAGATAATTATTACCCTTCACGCATGCCGTGTGACACCTCTTCTCAAGTACAGACCATAAGACAAGGTTCTTCCCTCAGAACCTGAGAGGTTGATATCCACAATGGGGACGCCATGTTTCTTCCATTGTTTTAGAAATGGATACAGAGCTGGCTGGTCTCCCTTTATCTGACAGTAAAGAGTAGTCAGCGAAGCAGTATGACATGTGGGTGATAATCAGGACCATGAAGGTATATGGTCTGTATTCACCGTGATGATAATTGAATCAGTCTATCATCCATCCATGACTGAAGCATGCAAAGCGTGACTGCTGAATGGATTTTCCTCACAAACACCCAGAGATGTTGATTACAGTATTTCTAGCATCTCGGTGTGAAAGACTTGCTCGAACCTGCCGATCTCAGCTGAAGGCATGAGCATGTGGAGTCAGAATGTGTCTGCCGTCTTAATTAACCACGTCAGCTGCATGCACGGCCAGAACTGCCACAACTATCACATTAACACATAGGACCATGTGGCCATATTCACAGATATCCGAGGCACAGATTTAAATTTAAAGTGATGCATCCGCTTGCTAAAATCGAACGGATTTTTTTTTTATGCAAAGGAGGCACGGCAGGCGGCAACACAGCTCCACAGCCCTGCGATAAACACAACTGAAGTGTTTCGTTGCCACTTCCGATGAAGGAAGTTGTGTGTTGGCATAACTCTGAGACTATTTTCAGGGTAAACATTGACATTTTAATGGAGCAATTAAGTAATAATACCTTACAATGGAATGCAATACATGGGGTTTTTTTTTTTGTTTGTTTTGTTTTTTTTACATAACACTACATTCATTCAACACTTGTGTCCAAGGTCACTTCCTCTCAGCTCATTCAGCCTGCATAAGAACAAGAGCTAGATGTCGTTAACAATTGCACAACCCTGCTACCAAACAGTTACAGCATGTTTAGCACTGCAATAAAAACAAGTGCTTAGAGGACGATTTTTTTGTTGCAACAGTTGCAATGGATTGATCGCTTGGTGCCATGTATTTGCTGGTTAACAACAATTAAAACTGACATGTCATTGACTGTTGGATAACATGATAATGTAGAAGTGTCTGGTCGCTCAGTGTGTTGTGTTGCAGACTCTGCCAGCAGGCAACAACAGGACCTGACCTTGCTGCAACTTTTGCTACCCTTATTCTCTCCGCCTTTGTGAAGAGGACAAAGTGGCTTGTACTTTAATCACACATCCTTCACATTATAGGACTTGCAAGGTCATTACTGTGACAAATCCTAATAGTCTGCACAGGCTTGACTGTCCGTGCAGCACTTATTCCAAAACAGTGCAAAGTTTCTCAGCTCCCACGTTGTACCGTTTGCATCATGAAAACGAGAGAAAAAAAAGATGAAATAACAGATGGAGCAGCTACATGAACAAAGAACTGAAGTTCTGCCTCAACTACATTTTCCATAGGAACACAGTGAGTTGTTTAAGTTTGTATACTGCTTGTTCAGTGTGGTGCCGTAGTTGAATCAACGTTTCTCAACACCAAACTGTCTGTCAGTACAGCCTGACATTCACACAACATATGGTGAGAATACATTTTGCATCTTGTTGGCGCTCTTCCGTCACACTCGCTGACATATGCCAGACAGTGGGGGAGAGATACTGAGAGTCCATATCATTTTTTAATTCATAATTGCTGGTTGAGCCACCCATTAATTCTGACTTTTCACACTCATTCTCAAACCCCTGAGAGCCCGAATGTGGCTCTGATATTACAATACCAACAAAAGCTGGCACTAGTCCACGGCTCTGGATTATTACTGAGGAGGTCTGGTATGTGCTGCCTGGCTGTGTTAGACTTAACAATTTAGTGACATCACTGGAGAGGAATATCCTTCACTGCATGAGCTGCCTTTCACTTTGGCAAAGTCTTTTCTGCGACGTGACATGAAATGGCTGTTCTGGGGTCCTTGGCTTAAATAATAATAAAAAAAAAAAGCGGCAATAACCACAGTACAATGTTTTTAGAGACAGATTTGCAGGTAAGCATATTATGTGCAGCTATGGGAGAACAAAATTATCTTGCCAATGATGCCCGTGAAGGACCCTTCAGGACTAGATGGATAAGCCTGTTAGGAACGCTCTCTAAAAGGCAATAAGTGAGGAAGACTAGGTAATAAATGGCTTTTTTGCTTGTGCTCAGTCTCAGGGGATGTTTTCTCGATGAATTAATATTGAAGCGCAGACTCAGGCCCGGGCAAGTTTATACCCATAAAAATTGCCAATTTATGGCCACGGTGACAAGCCACTCCATCAGCAGGGATGTTAATAATGTACAATATGCTGCTGCTAGGTTAAAGCAAATGATTATTACACAAAGGCAGTGCGTGAAATAAAGTTAAAGCCCTACACATCTCATCAGAGCGCGGCCTGTCACACAGACATTAGCCAAGGTGATTAGGAAGAATAAATGTAGCAAATAACAATAATAAACGTGCTGGCACATCCTGAACTACCACTCTGTGGTATTCTCTGCCCCTCTCCTTCATTCTCTCGAGCACACAGGCACTCTTTCACTTCTTCAAACCTTTGATATCCAAATTGCTTCTTTTGAAATACTTTTTGAACACAGCAGAAAACTGAATTAAAAAAGCTGAGGAGGAGGGGAAAAAAAGGGGAAAAAAAAGAGCTCTACATACCTCCCAACGTCAGAATCTATTAACAGGCAGGTGGAATGGCAGTCAGTCTGACAGGGCTTTTTTTCTGAAATGCATGCACACTATTTCAAAAGCAATTACCTCCAATAATCTTCAAAGTTTTTCATTCATTTGAAAAAACATTGAACATGTTAGAGGATTCTGCTTCTGGAGCTCAGCCTGTCTGACAAGAGATACATGAGGAAAAATAAAGCACTTGGCTGCATACTTGTAGGCAATTTGGCAGTAAGACTTTATTTGTGTAACTCTATCACTATTTGGATGGACTTCACTCCAGTTTTTTTTCCCTCCTGAGATCCAGAAATCCATTTCAATATGACACAAATAAAGGATGAAACTCTGATTTGATTTCCTTCCTCATACTGTGAAAGTCCTCATAAATGATCACATAGGAAAAGAACAAATGGAGACTGTAGCAAAGAACATGACAAATGCAACCACTGCACTGTGTGTATGTTGATTAAACTGAACAGACCAGGATGAGACCTACATCACATGATTTTAATATGCATGAGATTCAAAAAAGAAGAAGAAGGAGCCATCATCCATCAACTCAGATGCACCTATAGGCAGATCGAAATCTCGGACACGTGCATTCTTTGAGGTCTGGCACGTCTCCACGCACTTCGTGGGATTCGTGTTTGAACATGAAGCAGCGGGCAATGTGCTGTCACATCACTTTTAATAATCTGCCTGACATCTGCACAAGACAAGAGCCGCTTGGTGTGATTTTGTTGCAGATGTAAACACAGGTTCCACTACAAAACAATGCCCACTCCGAGGCGAAAAGAAAAAAAAAAAGCCGCTGCTGTTAGATGCGCTTGGATTAAACGGCCTATTGCTTTCATAAAAATAAAAGTTAGGAGCTTGAGGAAAAACATGAATTCAATGAGCACTCAAGCTCAACCGAGGAGCAACATGTTTTCATTTGGAATCTAACAGTATCACAGTTTGGACATGTTAGAAATAATGCTCCAGTTTGCAGCCACTCCAGCAAAGTCTTTTCCAAAAGGCGCAGATTCAAGAGCGTCGATCGAGCTCCGTTCATCAAATAGGGAGCGATAGAAAATGTATCAGACCATGTGTCCCTACCTGCCATCGAAGTCTGCACTTGCTCCCAAACAGCAGCTGCACAACAACATCAACTTTATCCATAATTCCATGATTCCGGGAGTTACGCGCCCACGCTGCTCGCTCTTCTCCGTAAATCCAAAAGCAGCAGCAGGTAAGCAACAAGGAGGAAAAGAAAAAGGTGAGTTTCTTAGAAGGTGCACCGGCAGGAGAGGTCTGCTGGCGCCCCTCAGAATGAGCATGTACTGAGGAGGTGCGAGGAGAGAAAAGCAGCCCGATGCCTGGAAGCACAGTGACTCCGGTGAGTGTGTGCGTGGATGTGTGTGGAGCGGGACGCACTCTGCCGGGAAGAGAGCGCACAGCTCCCCCTCTCTCCTCTCTCTCCTCTCCCCTCTCTCTCTCTCTCCTCACAAGTTCAGGCAGCGGGCTCTCCAGCCAGCACTGCAGTCTGACCTTATCTCGCTGCTTTTCAATAACCAGCGCGTATATCCAGCCGGCAGTGGGGACTTTTAGCGTCATGACTTGTGCAGGAGGAGGAGAAGGAGGAGGCTCCTCCTGTGGCTCCGTGCGTGCCTTAATTAATTGCGCAGCCTGCTGAGGCACGCAGGTGCACCGGCCACCCAGGTAGACTCACGCACTAAAGACAATGCAGTGGAAATTACTGGTGGGGACAAAAAAAACAAGCAGCACTGAAATGCAAAATGAGCAGTTTGGCAAAGTTTGAGCACTTAAATAACCAGAAAAGGGTTTGGATCTGGGCAATTATTGTAAATAAAAAACACAAGTGATGGGGCTTTTGATTGGAATATGCTCATGCAACTTTTGTTTCAAGTCACTTTGTCAATTATCACACTTCCCACTTTGAATTTAAAACGTGTCAGTCTTTATTACTCTTTGTCAAGAGGTTAAGTGTGGTTATCTCACTTCATATTCAAAGTGCTGAACTGCATCCTCCAGCCTGAATGGCAGGATCTAAAAAAGCTGCCTAATTTTCTGATGTGACAGGCTTCTACCTCAGCAAACCCAGTGTGTCAGTGAAATAACTACCTCAACTAAATGAAAGAGAGAGAGAGAGAGAGAGAGAGAGAGAGAGAGAGAGGAAAGCATGGGTAACCAACACACCATCCTTTCTGGAGCAGGAGATGAATGAGAGGAAGGTTTGATATGATTAGCCTACTGCTGGTTGTTCACAGTCACAGCCATCCTTTGATTCATGGCTCTGCTCGCCTTGTTACACCCTGTCACCCATCTGATAATAAATCTTTGTGGTGGCACAGAGGTTTGACATCAAGTGATCGGAGAAATGCTGGTTGTGTATAATTAGACTATCAATCACATCATTCTCATGGCTGAACTGTAAGAATGTGATTTGGTGATTTATTGTGTTTTCAAATGACGTATGGGTTATGCAGATCACACAAATCATGCCTCATTAGTATGTGGCGTGGAGTGGGGAAAAAACTGAGCTTGAGAAGATGAATTTTAAAGGGTCAGTTCATTCAAAAACACATAAAAAAAAACTGAGCGCCTCAGTTAGTTGGATCAAAGCCACACAAAGCTTTTTATTTTATCTGCTGTCGTCCGCCTGAAGTTCTTTTAGTTGGGAATAAATTGAATTTAAAAGCTCTATCTAAATACAAATATAATCTCTTGGTCTTTTATCGTTAGAAACCTATTCGATTGTAGTATGTTACTTGAATTTGTGGACAAATTTCAAGATTTATTACATTCATCCTGCTCTGTATTGACCAGACTCTTTAAGAGATTGATTTGGACTAGAAGGGCACCAACGAAACACTGTAACTGCAGCATTACACCCATGATTAGCAACAAATTCCAATGTTCTTATCGACACTTCCAAGCAGATTTGAAAGCAATTAAACATATAACATCACTATATTTTATTTGTGGTGCTCAAATCATGGGAAAAAAAGTCAGTTACTCTGACCGGTTAATAAATAACTTCTTTTATCCTTGTACGCTGTCAATAAATGAAAAAGTTGAAAAAAAAAAAAGCTTTTTTTTTATGATTGACTCATCCTTCAATGAACCTCTTGCTGTAAAGTGAGACATCATGTTGCATCCTGAGTCACCATGCCACAGCAGATAAACAGTAGAAAATAAATGCAAAAACAGATTATAAATCCGATAACGTGACAAGTGGGATGAGAAGTTTGAGGGAGCAGATTACAGCATTACTACGATGTGCAAAATAACAGCAGCTGTGACCTGCTATAAGCAGCCAAAAAGCAAATGTATACATAGTGATTGTTGGTAATTTGGAGTCCAATAATTCTGCTCAAGGTCATTTATTTAAAAAATTATGTTTATTAGAAAATTATGCAAGTCAAATGAAGCACATTATATCGGTGGTAATGCGAGTTAAATATAAAAGAGCAGGCATAAGATTAAAGATAATGGAAGGCAACACAAAGGTCCATTTCACACAGGCTTGTATTTTGTATCAGTGACTGCCGTAGTAACCGAGGACACATAAATACTGTCATTGTCAGGGGGTCCCAGATATGGAGCAACAAACTGTTGCAGATGAAAAAAAAACTGCAGCATAATGAGATGGAAAACGGTTGGCAAAAACACAAAAATGAGCAGAATTTTAATTATGAGAAATAACTAAAGTCAATAAAAACAATGACTGAGAAGTTTCTATGTAGCAACACAATTGTTCAGAGTTGAATTTAAAAACCTCCAGAAGAGAAAATCTGAACATTAACTGAGCTCAGCAGAGAAGATTATACAATAAACAATTACACCGTGATCATCAGGATAAAAACTCTCACTGAGAAAATGGCAATTTATGATGCATGTAATGTTTGTTTCGTCACCAGATACTTTGCCTCTGAAAAGCTAAAGAAGACCTTGCTTCAGATTCAGCTTACATGTTGTTAACTTTTGTATTAAGGTCAATCTGCTAAATACACCATTGAAAGTGTATTCAGCTAAGTTCTGACTCTATAATGTACTCATAGAAATGCCTCACGAGGCGAATCATTAGTAAAGAAAGGCATTGAGACACAAATAAACCGGCATAACTCACCTATTATGCCTAAACAAAAGAAAGCAGCCTAGTCACCTTCCAGCCCCGGGTGTTTGGGTTGAATCAACCCACTTCACACAATATTCTCCTCCTTTTCTCTTCCAAGCTTTAAGTGGTGCCACCTACTCCTTCTCTCCTCCTTTGTACCTATATGTATTTCTGTAATTTGCACTTGTGCAAAGCCACAAGCATGAACAGGGAGTCAGACGTCTCCTTTTGAAATAATTCCAGCCCTTGGAAGGAGCTGTGTCTGTGGCCATTCACCTCGGGATAGATTGACTCTGCTGACTGAATTTAGATGAGCATTACGCTGGAAAAGCCTGCATCTCTCTTGTCTATCCCTTCAGTGAGAGCGGGCGAACTGGCTCTCCCGCTACCTCCTCGGATTTTTCAAGCAGCTGCAATATACTGTCAAAGGTGACAAGGCGGGATTTCTCAGAGAAACAGATGACCAGTTTCACCTGCGAGAATGAAAGCTTGAAGGGGCTACAGTGTGTCTACAGAGCACAGGACTGGAAATATGGAGCGTATTGTGTGATTTTCAGCTACAAGGCTCTGAACACCGCGCGTCTAATCAAGCACACTGACCTTTTCTCCAGCGTCATAAAATATTCATTGGTGTTGAACGTATTACGGGATGCATACCATATTCACGCTGCTTCTTTATGAAGAATAATCAAGTTCTCTGTAGAACCATGACAAATGCTATATTTTAGCTGTTGTGATTCGAGTTTGAATCCAATTTCCCCGTCTCTGTATCCTCCTCTCTCTCTCTCAGTCTCTCACACAGTAGAGAGGTAGGTGAGATGAGATAGAAGTAATTCTCCATCTCACCTTTAAGTGGAGATGAGTCTTAGCTGAATATCTCCTTCTTGTGTTAATTAGAGGGAGCTGACTTCTGAGTGTTATCACAGAAGGCTGTATACAGACTATTTGCAAAAACAGCATGCGGATGTATGGTGTATTTAACTCTGGATGTGGGTGTGTAATTCCCGCTGCTTCTGTGTACACTGACAGCTTGATCGCACAGTTTAGGCGAAGACACAAACATAACAGTGCAGTCGGCGAGAGGCTCGAGCTCTTGCACTTCGACAACAGCGCTCAATAATCGAGGGCATTTAACTAAGGAGGGTGTAGCGCACGTCCACATGTTTATCCAAAACTCATGCCACCGTTGCCGCTTTTTTTACGCTTAGCCTGAGACAAATTTCTTAGAGGATGACTTTTTCTAGTCCAGATTTAATAAACATTTGTTTTATTTCCCGAGGCTACGTCTTACAAAATTGGGCCTGTAAAAAAAAAAATAAATAAAAAGAAAACGTTGAGGTTGGATGAAAAATAGTCAAAATACAGCCAGGAGCCACAGAGGCTGGGTGCTTTATCAAACCCTGACCAGGCTGAAGATGCTCCGCTGTACACCAGTGCTTGAAGTCCTAATTATGCACCGGTGCTTCCACTTCTGCGATGACTTCATGTCCGCTCCTCTGCGCCGGCCTTCCCACCAGCATGTTGTTCTTCGGTGAACAGCTTTCGGGCTCCATAGTCATTACCCGCACCGAGTACCCATGAGTCTCTGCTGCCCACGACCGATCCAAGTCCACCAAGCCCATACACTGTTTACCTGTAGTGATACAAAAACAAAAAAATGACACAGTCTTATTATTTTTTATTATCAGGCACTAATCTAACTTAACTTGTACTTAAGAATGGAGGCAAATCAACAGGAACTTCATAATTCAGTAATACAGAGCTTTACATTTGATTAAAGCCTAACTGATTGTGAATGTTTTTAATGGTGGTTTCATGCATATAAGAGGAAAACCAACCTCGTTTTGATCTTTGCTGCAGATATTTGTTAATAACATATGTATTAGAGCTACAACACTCAAATAGTCAAGTTAGTTGATTGATAAGATGAAACTTTATTAATACTCGAGGAAATTCTTACAAAATGCAGAACCGCTTTACGAATTCGCATCTCATCTTCTCTGTAACAGTGTATCGTATGTGCTGCCTGAAGCAAGCACATTTTAATCATCTATTACATTCTGATTTAGACATTTTTCAATCAAAAATTCCAAATATCTGTTGGTTGAAGCTGAGCAAATATGACTATTTGCTGCTTTTCTTGGTCATGTCAGATAAACAGAATATGTCGGGATTTTGGACTGTTTGTCAAATATCTCAGCAGGAAATGTTCACTAACTTCTTCTACTTTAAAAATAAAATGAATAGATGAATCAGGAAAATAATCGGTAGATTAGGTGATAAATGAAATGATCAACGGTAACCCCAATAGACAAAGGATTCCTTAAAACGTTGTTGTTTGTTTGAATGCAAAACTTTTTATCTTTAACTTAATATCAAAGCTGACAGCAACTGTAACAGTGAATTACTGTTTAGAATTAACAAAAAAAAGTTTGGAGTTTGGATTGATAGGGTTCCACTCGTTCAGCACTATCATCAAAACGAGAAAAAGTGAACATCTATTGGAAGAAATGTGTTCATCCCTCGGGTTGAGTTACTGAGATTCAGAATGCAGCGAAGTGAACTGAAGCTGTTCTGTCAACTTCGGACGACAGCGCCGGATTTATGTTTAATTTGTCACCCATCTGTGTACGCTGTTTATGCTGACATATCTCAGCAAAAAACAACATCTCAGTCATGCTCTAATTCAGCAGCACGCATTGTGGTGCTGCTGTACCGGTACGCGTGTTGTTAATGTTGTTTTCCTGTATATTCCTAGCTTTTGTGTGTATCAGCGCCCCGCTACCCACGAGACACTTTTTCATCAACAACCCCACAAGGATTACCACGCTTCTCTCTTAGGATTTCCTTTAAACACAGACTTCAAACGTATTAGGCAGTTAAGCAGTTTGGTAGCAGGTGGCAGACACGCTAAATGCGAGCTTTGGTCTCCAACGCTGCTTAGACGGTCGCAGACTTGCTAGCAGGCTCAGGAGAGATGAGATCAAACATGGTTAGAAAATGTTAGTGGGAGAGGTTGAGCTCTGTTCACTGATACAGAGCAGAAACAAGTGTGACAGGTGGTGTCAGGTACATATGAAAGGGCTTCAGACTGACGAGGCATTGGGGAGCCTTCTCAGATTCGCAGGGAAGCTTTGATAAGCTGGAGAGCTATCAGGGTGAAGAGAGTCCTCCACATAATGAAACACCGTACAGTGAAGCTTCGGCACAGGCCTGGAGGTTTCAGTCTGATAAAACACTTCCCTCAGAATCTGACAACACTGATCTGGCAGCTGTTCACTGCAGCTGTTTTGTCGCTACGTAGAAATCCCCACATTAACATTTTTCACTGTTCTCAAAAGTCCAGGCCTTTTGATAAAGTACAGCAGTGGGGATAGGTCACGGTGTAACATAAACCCAATAAACACATCTACAGTTTCAGCATGTTAACAGTAAAAGTCAGCACACCTCTGTGCAATATTACTTCAATATCAAATGATTGAAAACTGTTTGACCTGAGAGCAGTTGCACTAATTCAATTACTTGATCACTGGGGTATTTGCTCTATGTGTAATTAAAACTGACTATCTAGATTAACTATATTAAAAATTCAGGCCCCACAGTAGGAACTTCATGCGACAAAAGTTTGTATAATTTTCATTACTGAAATTCAGATCCTGCTTTTTCAATACTTGTTGTGTCCTGCTGTACTTTTTATGACAGACTTGATCCTCCTCAGCATGGAGGATACCAGTGTCCAGAAAGACGCTCCATCATTCTTCAGACATTTTTTTCAGCTACTCTTTGCTAGAGGGGTTGTGTTGCTTTACCTTTATCTCTAAAATACACTAACAGTGTTCCTGTGTGTAGGATTTAAATCAGGTAACATCCTTGACTAGGTCATAGTTTTCAGTTTCCTTCTTTATAAACTCTGAGCTTTGGATCACAATCAAGCTGAAATATTCCTTTTCAGCCAAACAGCCACAGACTGGGAGTCATCTATAAATGTCATGCAACTGCGTGGCAGTTTCTACTTTGTGACTCGTATTTTCAATATATACAACTAAAACTAGAGGTAATGCAACTTAAAATCATTTGACATTTAAGTGATTTGCATGGGGTGGACTTACTTTTACTGTACACTCCATATAGTTTATGTGTGTCAAAAAATCTATAATAAAAAGTAACGCGTCATATTGGTGTCTATCCCTACAAGACAATCGGAAATCAAACTGGAACAATGACTCTAGTCTGGCAAGGTCAGGAATTCCAGGAGTCATTCTAAAAATCTGTACCTCATGCATTTCAGCACAATGGTGTGCAAAAGCTTTAGGCATTTAAGAAGTATAGATTCTTATCCATCACGCAGTAACATCAGGGAGGTGTCAGATCGGTCTCAAATTCACAATTTCACGCTGCAGCCGTGACATCGACCCCAAGTCGAGTCATGAAAAATAATCTTCTGTGACAAGCAGGATAGGAGGTCCTGCATCAGATGATATGCTCTCGAAGATGCTTGCAGCAACCTACCTGCCAAGTACCCTGACAAACTGTGCCAAGTGTACCAAGGAGAATTGGGGCTGTTTTTAAAAGGGCGAAGGGTGGTCACGCCAGATATTGATTTAATTTAGTTTTTTTTTTTGTCCTCCTTACTGCACATTGGATAAAGGTAAATGACAAATGATAACTGAACAGTAATAGCACTCACTTTAATTACAGAGCCTAACATGTCTGCATGGTACGGTATGTACAGTGCTGCATGTCTGTGACTGTTCAAGTATAGAGAGAAGAATGTAAACAGTACCGATGAGTCGCCTCTCAGGGGGGAGCTGGACGGCAGTTTGGTCTGCGAAGCGACAGAGGATCATGTGTTCCTGAAACAAGGACAGATGATGAGTACAGCAACTGTTGATTTAACAGTGAAGTGCTGTGTAATATCTCTATGATCTCAAAACCACACACTTTGGCCCTGCCACTGAAACGACTGTAAAGTCACAAAGTGTATCAGAGACTTAAAGTATTCCACATAAAAATATATTTTTTAAATTAGCCATCCAGTGAAGCTCACACTATTGTGAATAAACTTGTCCTGAATATCTATTCATCCTTTTTTCACCAACTGCTTGTCCTACTTACAGCTACACAGCCAATCTCAGCGTGCACTAGCTGAAAGGCAGGAAAACGTTCTCAGCAGATCACACGGCTAAAAATTTTATGTTGGAACACAAGTCAGACACTATTTGATGTATTTTTTGGGGACATTTTATTAGGATGCTTATCAGGATGCTTTGTACTTGGCAATAAAAAAAAACCTCATGTTAAAAAAAATCCCTCAATAACAGTGATGAAGTCATAATTTGTAAATTTACAATAAATGTATGAAATCTGTCATCTGCACAATTATCCTGTCAGACCATTGCTGCGATCTGTAAGACCAAAATAATTTTTATTTAAAAAAAACAAAACATGCACTGCTGAAAACAAAGAGTGGCATTGAGAGATCACACAACATTGGTGAGTTAGTTGGGATTTCTAAAGCTGGATAAGCAGCAGATCAATATCACATCACAATCCGACCAAAAAGCTTCATAGTAATGGAGCTACCTTGAAAATTATATGGTTCATTTCAAGCAGTTTATCGTTATACATTGTAAATCTGAAGAGCTATCGCTTCATGAAAGTTTAATATCTCGCCTTTTGTCTTGGATATTTTATAAACAGTGTAAAAGTCTGCACGCCCAATTATAAAGCCGAGATCGCTAACAAGCCTCTTGTGGTGGTTCTTGTTGAGATCAAATCCCAGCAGCAGACAGTCAGTCTGTTTTTTTCAGTCATTACTGACTCAGTGATGCGAACCACACCTGTAGCTGTTTGTCTAATTTGTAAGTGACAGTTTTCTAATTTATATATTTTTCTTGTTATTATGTTACATATAAAAGCAGGCGGAGCTGTCATCACCAGCGCACAGCCGCCAACATGTGCATCCTCGTAAACTCCCCAGGACAGATCAGATGAACCCATTTATTTTCGAACCGAAGGACAAACTTTTCCACTCTAGTTTTACCTTGTTATGGTTGCTGGAACAAGGGACTCAGGAGAGCGGTTAGTCATCTCTAACCTGCCTCTACTTTAATTGATTCCATTCTTCACTCCGCAGGGCACAGAGCAGGTGCTTAAAGTTAGTGTTGAGCACCAATATCTCACACCATTAGCCTTTTATTCCGGCGGCGCACTATTCGTCAATGTGCTGTCATTCTGTTTAACTACTGTAGTTCAGGAAGGACAACTATGGTTCTGCTATAAAACAAGGCAATGCACAATTAAAAGCTGTGAATTAATCGGGGTGCTTTCGGTCCCCTTTTGTCCTTTGCAAAAGCACTGCAGCTTTTATTTCTGCAAGTTTTTTTTTTTTCTCTGAGGTGGTGAGCAGAGACAGCAGGAACCAGTGGGGTTCTGCAGACTGAGCCCAAATAAAAAGCAAATACCAAACATGGTTGTTGAATGTAAAACCATGAGGGTGAAGAGGAGAAGAGAGGAGGGGAGAGGAGATTGAGGGCTCGGGTTTAAAGTGGCTGATAATGTGTCTGCTGGTTTAAATAGAATATAGATTTCTCCTGTTGTTTGTCTGCATGTCCAGCTTTTTACCTCCACACGGAGAATAAGGCAATTGTGACTGTTTTGCTCTCTGGGCTTCTGGATGAACGGAAGAGAAATCACAACTCACTATCACAGAATACTGTAATTTCATACTTACTGCAGTGCATACTTACACTGTCTTATACTGGCTAAAGGGCCTCTCGAGCCTTAAGAGAAAAATCTGTTTCTTGCAGAGCACAAAGGAACAGAAGTTCGAGGTGGTCCAATGTTGTGACATGTCAACTCGGGAGGTTGCTGTGGTTAGGACCTGCAGCTACTTCTGCACAGATATTCCCCAGGGGCACTGACAGGTCCCATACATCATCATGGGATAGGCCCTCCCAGAGTACAGTGATGTGTTTGTGCTGAGCGATAAGGGATTGAGAGACTGGAGGGTGCAAGCTTTCCCTTGTAAGTGCCTAGGGAATCTTTTTTTCTCCAAGACAGTGATGACTGCAGAGATATCATTAATTCTGTTTTACTGTCCAATAAAAAAGGGAGGAGATTCACAAGCCAAGGGAGGGGGGGGGGACTACCTTGGGCAGGCAAAACTCAGTCATGTCAATTCATTTTTTAAAGTTTTTAGATTTTTGATGAATGGGGGCTGGTTTCACAAGTTTGTTGTAAAGTCAAACACACATTAAGTGTAGATAAGGAGATTTATGCATCGTTAAATCAAGACATTACACTCCGATTACTTGTTACAAAACATTTACACATATTAACTTGCAGGTCCACACCCCATCACACAAAAGCCTTTACTAGCTAAGGCATTTTAAATGTTAGTATTGCAACACCGTTTTACATCCTCAGTGTGAAACTAGCTAGTAATTACTTATAATTTAGATATAATATTCTTAATCATAATTTTGGTTGCACAAATAGCAAGTGCAACCCAACCCAGGTATGTCTCTGCTTGTCCATGTGTGTCTCATTTGTCTGAACATTAGCTGGAGTCTTGTTTGGCTTCCGTGTTCGCTGGGTGTTGACATTTGCGGTATGAGGATGCACTTTCACCTTTCACCAGGTCATTGAACTGTGGTCCAGCCATGTGAAAGTACAGCTTTTTTAAAATAACTACCGCAGTTTCTATTTTATGTACTTCTGCTGGTTTAGCAGCGTCTTAATTAAGAAGCAATTATTGCAGCAGAAAACTATGTATGACCCTAATGTTCAATGTATTTTACAATAAGTCATGACCCTTGAAGGCATCTTTTGGTGTGCATATAGTGAACAGAATCTGGAACGCAATCCTGTAAAAAAGTTTCTTTAATTCAGTATTTTGTATTATATCTGTACTGCAATGTAGTTTACCTCTTTGCAAAGTTATAGTGCATGCAACAGAGTAATTTAATAAAGAAAACAAAGCATACCTTATAGGTCAGAGTCTCTTCAAACCGCTTGCTGTAAAAACAGGAAAACAGATGACATTTTTATGTTAAATTGGAGCGATTCCAATCAGTAAGATGTATTTACTAGACATATGGGTCATATGTTTACTTGCTTAGGTCCGGGGAGGAGATTTTGTTTTAAGTGAAAATCTCTTCGCAAATAAACTAGAAATATACAACAAAATGTAAGTCCAAACTAAACACACACAATTTGCATTATCTCCAAAACAAATCACTTCCTCCCTGGGAAAGAAGCACTTTCATTACTTCTGTTATGACACGGGAACAAAGTCAGTTTGTTTGTGATGGTGAACTATAGTTTGCTTTGGCTGATGTTAATTAAAAGTCAACATGAAGAAGGTCAAAAGTCAGGGGCCAGTCAGGTCACATGGAGAAAAGTGGTAAGTTTAACTTGAACTTTCGCAGCCTTAATGAAATGGGCAGTTTAGTTTCACAGCTCATAAAAACCTGTGAACTGTGTGGAATGTCTACACCTGCAGAATATCCACATGAGTACCTGGAACATGACCTGAGGGGAAAACACTAAAAGTAGCGAGACGAAGATTGACAGAGTCAGGTGCGCTAAGTCTGCCCTGCAGAAACATAGCTTCTTGTTGTCCATTACAGCTGCAAAGGCTTTTTTTTCCAGTCATTCTTTAATATTTTATGAGAAGTCAGGAGGGGTGAAGTGTCAAGTTAGCAAAAGAGAGGAGAGGAAAAGCTAAGTATGAGAAAAATTTGAAATATTTATACTATACACTGAAGGTTACCCCAAGGCACAGTTTTAGGGTCGGTAATAGCAAGGACACTGAAAAAACTCATTCAACCTTCATTTGTTGGCAGAGGATCCCTACAATTAGATGTTTACATTCACACCTACAGTCTATTTAGAGGCACCAGTAAACAGAAATTGCATGTTTTTGGATTGTAGGATGCAAACCCACGTGAGCATGGGGTAAAACATGCAACAGGCTAACCACTGCATCGCCTCAAAACATTTACAAAAAGTGATTTATATTCAGTTTTTCACCAGAGTTGGGCAATATGTTAAAATTTACAACCAACCACAATCCGGCAACCAGCAATTTCAATAGTCATGGAGGTGTGTGTGCAGCACGCGAAGAGGAGTCCTCACTTACCACGTGCCATTTTCAGTGAACGCAATCATAAAGGGGCTTCAAAAGAGTACAAAATTATCTATTTGTTTGATTATCTTGTTTTTTTTTTTAAAACTAGACAAAACCGTGAAGCTGAAGGACGCCTCTGCTCACAGCCTCCAACCGAACAAGCAGGTGGGGATAACATATGCTATTAAATGATTTGGGCGCACAACTGAACATACAGTTTTTGGTGTAGTTCTCAAGCATGATTTATGGATGAGCGTTGCTTTTCGGCATCAGTCGATCAGGCCGCTAATTGGCATGTACTCACGGTCCTGTTTTGTAACTGTTGTAAATCAGCGCGACAAGAGTGTGCATAATATGGCCACACTCAAACAACAGCCAGTTCTAATTGGCACACGCTTTGAATTGTGTTTTGCAGGTTAATTATTCACAAAGCTGAATTCTTAAGGAGGCAGACCATTAACCCATTAAGACCTGATGCGTGTGTGTACCTGTGCATGTGTTCAGAGAATGCCTTTGGTCCTAATGAGTTAAATTAGCAAAATTAAACGACAAAATTCCAACAAATTTTCTTCCCCAAAACACAGTTTGTGTTTAAATGCATTCTTCATAAAGTCTGTGCAAAACTCTTCTGTAAATAATTTGCAATAAGCACTGTTTACATCCTACCTTGTTTACATGTACTTTTGGGCCTTTTCTAGTACAACGCTATCTTGCCGACATGTCTACATTTCCTGCATATCTACATGTGCATCCTTGTGCCTGAAACAAAACAAAAGAGCAGCCTTCTTTCTTAGAGTCTTGCAAAACGTTATCAGTGGTCAAACATTCCTATTGAAACCCAGCAAAGACTAGACACCCTTCACATGATGTCTGCTTCAAGCAAAAGAGTTAATTTAAGTACTGGCAGTCAGAAAGAAGCATAAAGTGAATTATTCAGTAAATATAGAGGCAACACTGAACTTGCAGTCTGCGATTAGATTTGCAAGCCTTGAAATCCTGCAATAACACAAAGTCCTACGTGTTTATGTTCCAAAACAGGGTCTGACATACAAAAACAAAGCAAAAAGAAATGTCAGCATTTCTTGCTTGGAATAATGGATTAAGTGATCCAGGCCAATAAAGAATCTGCAGAGAGCTGGTGTCCTGAAAGTGTGATACCTGGATTACAGTAATGATAATAAAAAGGCTTGTGTGCAGAGTTTAAAAAAAAATAAAAAATCTACAACTACAGTGGGAGTAACAGTTAAAATAATGTTAAAATGAATGATCGACTTAAAAAAAACAACAGACGGATTTGATAGAATCCTTAACTTTTACATACTACTCAATTGCGTTACCCTGAAGACTGGAACAGACAAGACCTGACAACCATACAGTTATAATGAATGACTCTACCTTAATTTGCGAGTGATCACAGTTGTTGCTACAACAGCAATCCCACATGACAGCTTTGTTTTATAGCACTCGGTCTCCTCAAGTAATTTTAGCGGCAAACTACCTAGTTATTAAACTTAAGCCGTAACAGTATTTGTCAACATAGCAACAGAATCAATAGCATTTAAGTACAACCTATCGTTCTCCCTTCCCTGGTGCACTTTCATTATCTTCCATTCCTATTCACACAGCAACACATTCCAGCCTGCAACATCAGCAGGCCTTTTGTATTAACTGATGAATTCTCTGCTACACAGAATCAAGTCATTAAGTCAAGAGTAATATTTCTTTCTGTACCATACACTAGATTTTTTCCTGCCGGTCTATCTGTAATATCCTTGACCGTCTCCACATAAAGAATCCCTTTTCTCAGCTGCCGACAGAACAAATCTGAAAATGTGAGGGGCGGACCCTGTTGTGAAGGTGATGTGACACCGCTGCCTCATATTGTCAGCAGTGATGATAACAGACAGGAGGTGAACAAAAAAAGCAGTGACAAGAGATAAAGATTGTGTGTGAGAAGACAGAGAGAATGAGTGCGAAAGTGATGGAGAGCCAGAGTCATAAAGAGAAACTGGAAAAAAAAAAAGAAAATCACCAGAGAGAACGGGAGAGATGAGAGGCAGCATTTCTTTAACACGAAAACAACAGTGTCAGACACAGCTGGACTGAGGCAGCTGTGAGCAGGTACAAACCTCTTGGGGAATCTGAACTTGACTGCATTCTGGATGAAGCCGTAGCAACAAGGACTAATGACAAAGGCAGCTCCTGCCTGGATGCAGTGCTCCATCACCATATCTGTTGCAACGCCACATGCATGGAGGGCAACCTGAAGCGAAACAAAAGACAAAAAAATAAAAAAAGTGACACTTTCACCATTTAAATCTAAGTGTTCTTGAAAACCTTTGTGCAACAGCAAGACCAAAAGTGGGAGGCACTTGAGAGCATGCACTCAATCCCATTGATTACCTCATAATGGCTGCCGCTATTAAATACATCTATGCTCTCTAAGGTGCAGACTCTGGGAATTAGAGCAAACAAAATGTATTAGTGTTTCAGGAGCAGAGGCACGAATGCATCAGGATTCCCATTGAGTGGGTAAACTGTGCGTGGTGATGAACACCTAGCTATGCATTAGTAATGGTGTGGCTATATATTGGATGGTAGAAAGGGAATAAAAGAGAGTATTGAAGTCTGTCTGTGTTCCAGCCGTCTTTCTCGCTCAGTCCATCTGCAAAACTACATTACGACTCCTCAAAGGCAATGACTTTAATATCCAAAGTACAGTGGTAACATAGATGATTTCCTCTCAAGCGTACACTTGCTAAATAGATTCTCTGTTAATGGTCCAGATAAAATGCATTATCAACAGTCTGGTGTGACAATAGCTACTGAGACTTGCTAAAATTACCCCATCCAGCTCGAGCAACCAGCTCCAAAATTCTATTCTTCTTTTCCAAGAAGTTGTCAATTGGCGTCTGTGAGTCTGAATCGACTGCATGTTGCCTTGACAGCAGTGCCACGGAGCAGAAGTTCACAGCTGATCAGGACAGGACTGAGCCAAGACCGGCTCAAACGCCACACATGGGGAAGGGAAGATACAGACTCGCCGAGCAGAGCCAAACCCACTCATATAGTCCGGACAGGGGGGTAACATTTCTCAGAGGCGCTCCAACTCTCCATGGAAGTTGCACTTTGTGATTTCAGTCTCTGCGCGGAAACACACTCGAAGAACTCTACGTGGAACTGCTTCGGTCACTGAATATGTAAAAATTCATTCATTCCTCTTGCAAAATATGTGTATTGATTTAAACATGAAGTTATTAAATGAGACTCCGCACATGAAAGAATAAGCAGAAACTGAAAATTGGGGAATTAACATCAATTACCTCCATGGCCTTGCATCTATTTGACACCTAATCTTGCATTTATTCATGTCATCAGGGAAAAGCTGTATACTCTTTCAACAGACAGTTTCAGACTGCTGATTAGGAGGAGGAGCTGCTATCAAAGGCTGCATAATGTTACACCCCCCACATCTAAAGGAAAAATAATTAACAACGTAGCACCATCACTCTTACCCAGCTACTTAATGTTGTACATTAGTCATGCTGTGGTAAATCCTAATTACATTTTATAACCTTTAGCCTTGATTTAACGTCAACACAAAGCCATTCAAGCAAACGAAACGTACACAACTGAAATAAAAACACTTTCTCATGTGTTTTGATAAATAATTTCCAACTTTTGATGCAGAAAGCCTCTCTTCTTTATCAGCTCTTACGAATATTTTGAGCAGTATTGACGAAGCGTTCCCACAGCTAACATGTTCCGCGCGCTACTAATTAAAAATCGATAATAAAAGGTGGAAAATGTATGCAAGGCTAATTTAAAACCATCCTATAGCTCTACTGTATTCCCGACATATTGTGCTCACCATTATATCTGCACAAACAGTCTGGAAGAAGAAAACCTCAATTAGTATGCAACAAACACAGGGCCACTTGTTCAAATATGTCCTTTATTGATCTATCTTTTTGGGAGCACAAAAAGCTCTTTCTTTCTGTATCTTTCTCTCAGCAGTCACATCACAGAAATAATGAGGCTTCATTATTCACTCTTATGAAAGTAATTACATCCCTCTCCTGGTCTATCCGAGCCTGAGACAGAACAAGTTCCTGCAATATAGCTAACTAATGCGTAATCAACCCTTTCTGCAAAATTGTATTGCCAGATTTTCTTGGGGTTTTTTTTGTTTTTTTTTTGCTGCAGAGAGAAATGCTTTTCAAAACTTTTAGGGGTTTCGTTGCTGTGTAAGAGAATTAAATTCTCAGCTATATTTGGCACACTAATTTTGTTTTATGATACGTCATATTAACTGATGATAAAATAATCAACAAAAACACCAAGAGAACCTCAATGATTGAGCAGATCTGTTTTGTGTCTATAATTTGTGTTTTTGTTTGTATGCAAATATGTGTTTTTGTTTGGTCCAGACGAGAATAAAGTGTGATTACATAAAATCAAAGGGTTTTTTCTGTCAAAGGCGGATGCACTGATGCTTTTCATTAGAGTTGAGCAGACTCAATATTAAAGACTTTTAGAGGCAACAACAAAAAACAACCCCAACAAAAAACAATATCCTTGAATGATATTAGTAGTGGAATAACGCCTAATAAAGCCATCTGGGAATTGATCAATACCAAGGTCTACATAAGCCTTAAAGTAATACCAGCAGGTATATTTTTCTTCACACAAACATAAAGAAGTCAGGAATCAATGGTAAACAATCAGACCCTTAAGCAGAACCAATAATGGACCTGGATCCAATAAAATCCAAATCAACTTCAAGCTTCACAACTTTTTCCTGCCCCTGAAGTCTGTCGGCTCAATTTTATCTGACAGGATAAAGGATAAAAGCTAAGTGCACTCTATGTAGAGGCTGCTTCTGATACAAGTTTAACACCTGGGCCAATGCAATTTCAGCCAGGAAGAGCAGACGCTGACTAAGATTAGGAACACCTCAACTTAATTAGGCTGATTAAATGAATGTGACTAAAAATGGGACCATGTATTATAGATAACAGGATTAAAATCAATGTCATGGGGCGGCTGCTTCAGGTAGAAATATCTGTGTCATGCAGGGAGAAGCTTAGCAAAAGTACAGCTCTCAAGCAGTGCAGAAAAGGGCAAACTTAAGCACCTTTTTTTATACATAAACGTATTATGCATTCATGTATCATGTGAAAAAGAATCCGTGTGTGTATAAAGTCTCGGGCTAAGCTGCAGAAAAAAACACCCACATGTTGTAGAGAAGAATAATCTGTGCTGTTTGTTTCTTGCCAAATAGAACGGGTCTCAGCGGAGTGATGATGCTGGAACGAAAACTACGTCTAATTACAGCAGGTACACATATATTCCTATTTGTCCCGGAGAAAGTTGAAGTGAGGCTACTAGAACAGCTGGCTTTCCTGAAAGTGGGCTATGACACACAACAGGAAGATGGATTTTTCCAACATGTTTGGGGGAGGACACTGGCCTGAGACACATAAATAACGACATGATGATCGAGAGTGATGATAATACAGGTTTTATGGAAAATGTTGCCTGGGTGGAAAAAGGGGATTTAAGTCGCCTACATAGAAGTCACATTTTCAAATCCCTGTTCTTGTTTTATCTGTGTGACAAAGCCAAAAAAAAACACCCATAGTTAAGGACTGATTTGCTCTGAATTGATAGTAATTATCGGTTTGAGAAGTCAAGAGCTCTGCAGATGAAAGTAGGTGTTTTTAAATAGGACTGGCAGGGGTGCTGAATTTGTTGGAGAGTTCCACTAAACGCTGAATTTCAGTCTGTTTTCACACCCATCAAGCACAGAGTTTGAAAGCCAGTAAAAATATTTATTCTGTCATCACAGGTAGCTGCACAGAATTAAACCCATTTACTGAGTTGGATCCTTAAGCTTAACGAGCACAAACAGGCAGAACTGCAGTGTTGGCAGGCATGTCCATGTGAAAAATGCGTGGCGAATTAAGAAGTAAGGGTGACATGGCAAGTCAAGTGACCTGCGTAAAAGCTGAAAAGAACCTGAAATGGCTGGAAACCACATTTCTTTTTATTAGACACTTTTTGAGGATTACACTTTTTTTTCCTGCTACTGTAAACCTTCAATAGGAGTATAAAGCAAACCAAATGGAAGATTTAAACAGTCAACATGAACAAACAATAAAAGTAAGCCCTAATATTTCTGACTGAAGACATTCCTTAACCATGACATTACCTTTGTCCTTAATTTTCTGGGTAAAACTACCTTTTGGCTTTCCAACAACCAGAGAGGGAACAGTGAGAGACAGTGTTTGACTGAAGTGCAGGGCACTAAAAGGGTTCCGATTAAAAGCTCCACTTCAGGAAATGAAAAGCCATCTTAGTCACTTTGACAAAAAAATAATTGCATGTTGGCATTTTCAGTTTCTTTACAAAAAGACGAGGGAGTGACATGTCTCTCTGTTTGATGTGTGGTTGTACTCTTATATAAATATACGTAAACATTTTCATTCAGATCCACCTCGCTGTGATTGCGGGTAGAATGTCACACATCTTTAATTCAGTGTTAATCACAAGTATTCATATTTATGATAATCATTATTATTAACACTGCGCCTCAGTGTCAAAAAAAGGTCACGGCATTGATGCACAATGTGATTATTTTTTTTTAAAAACTGTCATAAAAGCCCAAAAAGGAAAACGATTGAAACGTCTAACAGCAATGCTTTCAACCATCATTGCTAACTTCTGAGATAAATTACAGTGGTATTAAAATGGACAATTACTCCAGCGATTAAGTAAATAATTTGATGCCATGGATGTGTTGATGACACATTTTTCTTTGCAATATAGCTCGACAACATGATTAGCGGCACAAAACCTATTCTGATTGTGCTCCCACGGGGAAAAGATTTTGTCTCTGAAGCGTTAGAGTTTTCATTCAAAGCGCCATTGCTAATTTAATTTCCGTATTTTTTTTCTTTGTTCTCTCAGAAAGTTATTGTGTAAGCGAGAAAGGCAACTTCATCTCTTTAAAACTACAATGTGGAAATTGGATTATGATTACAGTTTAACAGCACAAATTACACTGAAACAAATGAAATTAAACAGACGCTAGTGTGGCTTCTATATTATAGTAATTATAACAGCATCAAATTATAGGACAGTACAGATAACACTGTGACTGTTCCTAATGTAAAAAAAAATGATTTTAATTTCACCTGTGCCTCTGGTGTAATACTAGGGTTTTATTTTTTACCACAACAAACAGATTTTACATTGCATTTGCTCACAATACTTTTCTTACACCATCTATGGATCGTCAAATAACAAACGTAAGGAGACGCGTGCAAAAGCTTATTTTTTGAATCAGTGTCACTTGCTACGCTCACCCCAATCTGAAACGGTCCAGTGAAGTAATCCAAATTGGCCTGAATGAAGCCAATGTTTTTCAGACCCAGCTCGGCACTGCGACTCTGAGCCCTGACCAAGGACTCTTCTTTGTTCTCTATGAGGATGACCTTGAATAAAAGACAGAAAAAAAACTCAGCATTATGCGATTGCTACCTTTCCCCAGAAGTCCTGAAATAAGCTGTAATACATTTAAATGTCTGTCCAGATTTTGCAATGTTAAAAAATACTGAAAAAAAACCAAAACATTGTAAATTAACAGATTGTAATGACAGTGACGGTAACGTTAGATTGCAAGAAGTCTATTCTTAGATAAAACATCTTTATTATACAACACTGCACTAACCTGGGGATGGAGTTAATGATTCATTGTATCACTTTATTATTATAAATAAATCTTACTTAACGGTTAAAATGTCAAATAATGACAACTGCCAATCAAAATGAACCACATTTCAAAGTGAAGTCTTAAAAAGTCTCCTTTATTTTGTGTGAAAACCAAACACATATCTTCAAACGCACGTTACCTGGCAATCTGGAAGTGTGTGAGCCAGAGCAATCCCTACATGGCCCTGAGAGACAGCACAAAGAAAAGGAGAAAGAAAATAAAAATGCACAACAGCAAAGCAGCACACATCAAAGAGGGCATCTATAGAGTTATGATTAGCACTGCCCTTTTGTACCGAGTACTGACCCTTTAGCCATGCAGCACTAGCTACCGCTCTGAAAGTGCATTTTCATGAGTGTAATTACCAGTCTGCTTGTGTGCACCAGCCAGCAACAAAAGACATTTAAAGGGGAAAGAATAATATGAGAGAAGACGAAGAATCGTTCCTTTCAGCTGGTTGCTAATGGAGCAGCAATCTAATGAATCTGTGGTCAGGTGCAGTGATAAATATACATGCATTGCTGGACTGATGGATGAATGCAAGTACCGTTCCACTGCAGAAATCCACAATGGTGTATCCTGGCCTGGCTAGCTCTGTAACCATGGCAACCAAGTTATTCAGCTGTTGCATCTTCCTGACTGCACGGATATTTGACATTTTCCCTGCAAAAAAAAAAAAAGAAAGAAAAAAAGCACAAGTTCTTATTGCATTTGAACACAGAGTGGAAAGCAACAGGTTTTTACAGCCAATTTATCTGAAAACTCAGTTAAGGGGCAAATAATAAAAAAAAACAAAAACACCTGAGATGAAAGTGGTCAAACACAAACAGAATCATTCACTGGGACAAAGTAAGTCCATTTTGTAGCTTGGTTGGCTCCAGTCAATATTAACTCACCACAATAGACACAACTTCAACAACAAAAACATGTCAGTCGGCACATTGTTCATTACTCTAATGTCTTCTTTTCCTCTGCTGTCAGTGAGTAAACACACTTCCCGTCCAACTACTCAAATTATGATTTACAACCAGCCATTTCAGGTAATGGTGATAGTACACAGATGAAAAGCCCTCCACTCTCTCATCAGCATGTTTCTCCCCAATTGCCAACTAGGGAGCGCAAAACAATCTTTCAACATCTCACAAAGCAGGCCTTCGAGCCAAAATCAAGTGTCTCCTTTTTTGTAGCAGAACTTTCTGCCGCTGTGAGAGCAGTATGTACCCCATTAACTCAAAGCACATTGCAGTCTCCTGCATCTTCCGTCTGTTAGTACGCCACATCGGCAGTGAGCCGTTGACGCGCTGTGCAGGAGCCATCTCTGGTCCATAAATCTAGAGTGATGAGTGTTTCATTTACCCCCGAGTCGCACCCTCGTATTCACACAACCGAAATGTAAGAGAAATATTATTGCTATAGTCTCCTGCTCCGGCTGCTTTGTACATGACAACAGGAAAGGAGAGATGGCAGAGGAGATTTTCATTCTGCCACAAACAGGAAATTTCACAAAGGCATTATTCAGCCTCTCAAACCGACTGTGCTGATCCCAGTTGTGGGGAGAGCACAGTAAAGAAAGTCTGGGGTGAATTTAAATACAGAGACAGTACGGTAGGGTATTGACAAGACTGTGCTCTTCATTTGGATGAGCAATTCACATGGGCGCAGGCACTTCTATGTACCCATGACTCCAGATATGCCTCGGTGAAGAGGCCCTTTGATGCCTCTGGACGCATTTAAATGCAAATTACAATGCAAAGTGTGATAAAATTTAGCAGGGCAGAAATAGTGAGTGGTATCTAGGGTGTGACTTGGTGAGGGAAACTGGAATAACTAAGCAGTATAGATTATAGAACTCAAACTCTTGATGTGATATAAAACCCTTTAAATATGCAGCTGATTATTTGGCCTTTGGGGAACGTGAACACAAGCTCTGAATACTATCATATTTTACCTAATAAAGATAATATGGCTAACTTGTTAACAAAAATCTGGCTGTGTACACATTCATTAGAGAATTTTAATATTCACTCACCTCAGTACTCTGTTCTGATCTCCATCAGCTACTCAGAGACTAAATGTTCTCTTGAACTACATCTGCTGTGTCAGTGATACAGAATGATCTGGCTGCACCTCATTGTCATTGTGCTGTAGGGGGAAAAATGCTCTGGCTTATTTCATATTTCTTCAAACCAATCACAGACGGCACTCAGATTATGATGTAGCAGCGGTGAGGTAATTCACAGTGAAAAAAAAGCAGGGCTTCTCTAAAAAATTGAATTTCCAGCTGTTTGGAGGTTGTTGTTGCTTTTCCTAGAAGTGAAGGTGATTTTGGACACCAGCAGAAATCTCAAACTTATACCTGAAGTCTGGTGAGTCAGACTGATCCCCATAGATCCATATGCTTAAAAGACCAACTTTACAACTAAACATGTTTACAGCCTGGTGCAAAAAATAATGAGAATGTTTTGGTTTTTATAGCTAATTCCCCATTCACGACAACTTAGGTTTAACAAGGTTTTGCGTAATCAAGGGCACGGTCATTTTGAGTGACAGGTGGGTGCCGCTCACGCTCCTCATCTTGGCTCTTTTGTTGGATTAGCCGAGGTTTAGGAGGAGTCAGGTGCTGTCAAGACGATGGTGGCTGGAGCCTGAGTCTTAAAACTGATCTGCAGGAAACCAGTGTGTTATGTCACATGAGGTTCGTCTATCTTTATGTACAATCAATGGCATACAAACAACAATATAAGAGAGTGAATCAAAACCATACAATATATGTGGGTAACTGATGGCAACTGCAGTGTTGTAATTTGTGTGGTTTTATTACTACAAGTCATTGTGGGGCAATCATTTTTGCCCCATACCTCTGTGAACCCCAAATGTCCAGTTCTGTGGGTCCATGTGTTTTCACAAATATATCTCGCCCTCAAAGTTGTTAATATTGTATGTAGTGAGAAAAAGGGATTGATGCCAGTTACACAGCTTTGCGTCTTTGTGTGTGTTGTGTTTGTGGGTGTGTGATTGACTTTCAGTGTTTCTGCTCTTACAAGACCGCGTTTGATGAAGGGTCACCACACAGTTCGATGTCAAAATCGAACAGCTACGTAGGAACGAGTGGGTGACAGCTGAAAAGCAAACTACTTGCCAGTCAACTTCTCCTTTTCTTTTCACTTTCACTTCATAATGTGGTCTGAGGAAAGAAAAAAAAAAGGCAAGACTACAAGACATCTTTAAAGTTCAATTCCTGGGTTACTTTAAGTCCTTTACATTCACTCAGTTTTGGATAAACATAATGTCAAACAGAGCAGAGGTCAAAAAGCCACAAGATGTACAATGAGAACATGAATGGGAACACACTGTACATCATACAAAACCTTTCTGTATAAGCCGAATGATGCAAACAGCATTAAGTCTGTTTCAAAACATTTTCTTGGACTTCAAATAAAAATCAATATTGCAGCAAAATGACTCACTTTAAACTTTATAGCAGACACCAATGGAAAACAAGACATTTACTTGTTTTCTCTTGAGTCCAAGAAATTCTTTGGTACAGGTGTAGGAAACAGGAAAAATCAATATCTTAATTAAAGATACAAATGGTTATGGTTTCAACTTTTATCATTATCACAATAATGGACAACATCAATCCCCAAAGAGAATTCCTTCTTCCCTTACAACTTAAATTCAGGTTTTATTAAGTCCACTCTTTCTGCTCTAATACAGCTAAGTGTGGATTAGCTGTGTGGCCTCCTTAAATATTTAACAATTAATTAAAATGTTGCTCTTCAGTTGAGTCATTGCTGAAAATAATGCTTGGTATCATTGCTAGTAGCGATGAAAGGTAACAGTATTTAAGACTAAGACGGTCACCCAGATACAGATACGACGTCCCCAGGCTCTTCATTAAACATCGCTTGCGTTTCAGAAGGATCCCATCACAAAATTACAATCCAAAGACAGAATGTGGAAGCTGGAAGATTTAATGAAACTCTGGTTTAGGCTCAGTGATGCTGTTTTTAAAACGGTAAACAAACTGACTGTAGTTAAAGGTGCAACATGCATGATTTTAAAGATAAATGTAGCATTATTATGGCAGCAAGGTACTATCTGTTCTGTAAAGATATAGTGGAGTAATGGTGTCAAAGTGACATTCTCCATCTGTGTGTTGTAATTTGAGCTTCTCTGTCCTATGTGTTGGAAGCTACCTGGTTGTGCATACATGCTAGTGTGAGTCCCTCCACTTGCATGAAAAGGTTTAAGAAGTGACCAGAGGAGTCAAGGAAAGGAATTAAGGATGCACAAACTGGAAAATGAGATGAGGCACATGAAGGAATGTAAACATTTCATGAAAAAACCAATTAATAGTTGGTAAGATATTTCAGCCTGGACTTACATGATGGACCAATCAACCAAATATTATCGCCATCTAAAGACCCATTCTGCCAGTATGGCTAAAAAGCTAACATTCATTGGTGATTATAAGACCAGACACCAACTGAAGTCAGGGTACAACACTTTCTGACCCATCGAAAGAACAAATGGGATGAACACCAAGGATTTCTCAGGAGGTGGCTTGAAGTGCTAAACATCAGCAGGAAAAAAGAGAGAAGGCAAATAAGGGGAAACAAAGCTGTGCAGTTTATTGGACCATTTATAGGCAACTTTGCCACCATTCAACTATGACATAATGTAACGTATCCTAATGTCTCCCTGTCAATATTATCACTAGTGTCACACTAAACAAGTGAAGGATGAATCCCTACTCACGAAACATAATTGTTCCATGAGAAGACGATGCTGGTTTAGGAGTAATCTGTGATGTGACTCCTACAAATAATATAAATGACAGTCTGTACAACTGCAGTGCCTGAGTCTAGACTGAAATATAACAATTTTGACATAGAAAAGTCAAAAGTTTTGCCCAAGCCCTAACTCACAAAAGAAAAGCAATCCCAGACCATGTAATTCACAGACAGCTCAGTAGGAGAGAGGTCCATCTTCACTGATGTTTTTTACCCCTTTTTTTTTCTCCCCCCCTCCCCTCCACCATCCCAACTAGATCTTCTGTCTTCCAGTCACTTTATTTATAAAGCGAAAACAGCAACAGCAATCACAAGTATGACAGAAACAGCCTGCAACTGTCATCCGGCCCAGCCCAAATGATCCACTCGCAAGAAGAGCCGTTGACAGGTGGACATTAACTCAACTCCCCTCTGTTATTACGAACCCAATGTTTCGGCAATTACTCAGGCATTGTCTTTTTCAGCATGACGCCAAGTACGTATAAAAATGCAAATGAACAGCAATGAATCATCACTTACAGAGATAAAATAAGAGACATCATTAAGTTACGTGCCAAGAAACCACGTTGGAAATTTAGGGGTATAAATAGTTTGATTGAAAGACTTCTTTCAACTTGAAACTTGGCATGATTGAATGTAATCCTCTGTTTGTATTAGACAAACAATGAGCAAACTGGCAAGGAAAATGTTCTTTTATTTTTTTGGCCAACCTTACTGAGTAACACAATCTTACTTTCTAACCAACAACAACAAAAAACACATCAACATGTAAGAATATTCCTCTTTATCCAATCCGAACTTCAATGCAGATTTCACCAATGGGTTTGGAATCAAGTGTTATTTATCGCAGTGCAGCTCCCTGACTAG